CATTCATACTGGCTTTCAGTTTCAGAGCTCTTCTGAACACTCACACAACGCTCTGGGACACACCGAGGAGGAGGAGGAGGAAGCCCCCCATGTGCCAGACCCAAACAAATGAGGGTGGTGCTCTCCTGGACGCAGGATAGAGAAGCAGAGCAGAATCTATGCCTCCCTCATCCCTGTCGGTGCAAGCTGTATAAACGGACAGCCTTATCTATCTTTCAGTTCCATCTCTCTGCTTGTGACAGTAGGCAAGGAGCCTGGTCTCTCCAAACCCTGCCCATCGCAGGTGGGCAGGCCTATACACAAAGGCACATACACAAAGGCCTATGCCTCTGTGGGGATCAGTCCCACAAAACCCACGTTAGTGAGCAGAGGGTCTGCCAGTGACCTGCTCCCCTCAGCCACTAACGATGCTTTACAGGGGCAAGCCTCTTGAGAGCAAAGACAGAAATCCTAACAATTACAACTCAATTAATTATGATTATCAATTGTGCTTGTAAAAGAGTATGCACGTGTATACACAAACATCAGAACAGACCTTAAATGGGTGATGTTTTTTCAAATTTTATACACTGCTTGAGTCATAAAAAAAACAACCCAGCTTCCCTCAACTCTGTAAACTCCCTTCCCTCTTTGCTCATATTCACTCTTGTATATCCATCATTTTTGACCCTCTACCGATTTCCATTGCTGGGGCTCATTTTCTGTGACTTGAGAACCTGAAATTATACTATATATCTTTGTAGCTCATTGAACTTACCAGCATTTATTTTAATTTAGTAAGGAAACATTTGGCTGGGTGTGACCAAATAAATACTGTGTCTAAAGCAACACAAATATACTTTGCACAAGGCTATAAACCTGTCTCAGAGCTCTAATGATACTGCAAGTCAATGAAGCTTCAGTGTTCTCATTAACATGATTCCATCAGACCTCTATGCTGCATATTATTAATTTTTAACAATAGACAGTAATATAATTATAGCACTGTGGGGCAACAAAAGCTGAATCCTGGTAATAGACCAACGTTTTAGATTGATAATGGCTTTAACACCGACCTAATATTTAAAGGTGAACATGCACAGCGGACATCAGACCTAATTATAAACAAGACAACAGGGAAAAAATGCATCACCAGCCTGTAGCTACGGAGACGAAACTTTCCACAGGGAGCAAAAGGCACAGATCTTGTCATGGGGTCAGGAGGAGTTTTATCACCTATTTTGTCACAAAAATAATCAAGAGCTTTGATCTAGAGAAAGATATTATCACAATTTTTCCCTACCTTTAGTTGGCTTTGTGATCAAAGGAGCAAGGTACCTGTCCTTTAACTCAATTTGGGGGTAGGAATTAGCATTAGAAACAAGCATATTTTTATGGAGAAAAAGTAAATCATCAAAATCTCTTTTGAAATCCATTGGGATGATGCCATTAGATGATGCCACACTCACACTGTTCCTCTCCACAGCCTGCTGAAGCATCACAGGGAACACAACCAGTTTCTACAACAGACAGCAGATGTGATGGTTCTCAGCACTGCGCTGAGCACTGAGCTCACCTCGTGGCCGGACCTCTGAGCAGGAGGGAACGTGAAAACCTAAGACATGTTCAACTTCTGTAAGAGCAACTTCCTGTGAAAGCCAACACAGCACAATTTTTTGGTTTAAAAGGCATTCTACTCACCAAAATTTGCTTTGGAATTGCTTGTATTTTCTAAATCAGTCTTTTGTGCAGTATCTAGAAATACAGTACAGCAGTAATAACGTAATTAGTATTTTCACTAGCTAAATTACAGAGCTGACTGCAGAATGCAGCATAGTAATATCAATATTAACAGTTCAGCATTATACAAAATGACATCAATAGTTTTAGTACAGCCATGAGAGACATTGTAATTTCCTCCTTCTCTGAGATTCCTTCAGTTTGTGTCAGGTGAGGAAACTCACAGAATCTACTGATTTTTAGTTCGACTCAAACTCTACAATTAGCATCTCAAAAGTATCTTAGGTAAATTTTTGAAGGTTCTTGAACAATATAATTAATATTGTGTTCAGAAAGGAATATGGCATTTAAGTCCTGCTGCACCAACCTCTTACGTGAGCGCAGTATTTCCAGCGCTTTTGCAAATTAACACGTTATACTCCACAGCTGAAGACAACGCGCAGGGGGATGTAATGCCAGGACCATTAAAGCAGTCTTATGGCAGGTCAAGAAGTGCAAGTGCAAGCTTTGCAGTCTAGTGCTACTCTGCATTTCCTTTCTATCCCGGTCACATACTGAGATCTAAAATTCTAGCAACCAAAGTAGTGGACTCTGAGCAGGAAGACACTGAGGCAAGCATACTTTTGGACTTCTCGCAGTAAAGGACTGCAGTCAGCCACCTCCGGCATGCCCAGAAATCAGGGAACTCCAGCTTACACCAGAAGCTATGGACAACGCCACGGCATCCTCCATGCCTAAAGCTCCCTTCTGGCCAAGTTATTCACAACCCACAACACCAAATCAAGAATACTGAGAATATTCACACACACCATCAGCTTCCTTAATTGCAGTAACTTTATGCTTTACTTTGTAAAAGGAGATTCACTTGTTCTTTCACCGTTTCCATTCAGCTCCTTCAGCATTTTGTTCGTTTGTTTGTTAAGGTGCAGCTCTACAGCAGAGTGATCACTTCAGATGAGACAAAACAATGGCTTAGTAAATCCCTCTGGAAATGCAGAACATATTATGTGCATAACAGTTGAACTCCTTGAATTTCCCCTTTGCAGATCCTCTTGGTTTCCAGTCATTCAGATAAAGAATGGAGCTTTTGTAGGCCAGTTAATCCACCCACTGAATGAAATATAGTCAAGTTTTACACATCCACATGTTCGTTTGAGGCTGTAGTTTACATCTGTAGATGTAATAATAGATAAAGTAATGTAGACAAAAATCATAGCTTGGGCCCCCAGAGAAGACCTTTAAAGACTGAGGTTCAAAAGTCCCCATGCTGCAGTCAAAGCAACTGGCAAAATGATTTAAGGGCTGTCTCTGCTTACATTTACTTCTGCCAAAGCACTAGCTTAATTTTCTTTGTGTGTCTTAATAAGCTACCTCTGCCAGAGAGACTCTTACTTAAAATCTTTGTGTGTCTCTAAGCTCAGAAGGAGAAATTTCGGCACTGCTGAGTGGTATGCTGAGACAAACGCCCAGAGGTGGTGTCAAGCTCAGCTGCAAAATGAGTCTGTTCTTCATTTTCTTTAACATCACAGTCACAGACTAGCATGAAAACAGCATTTACACAACAAATTAAAATGCAAATCTACATTTTATTCTATGAAATTGAGACGAATGGTACACACTTGAAGCTTGCCAGAGTAGCAATTACACACATTAATATAGTTTTAGATGATGACTTAAGACAAACAAGAGGATAGAACAGAATCACTGTACACCAGAGCCTGTGAAACACTCCAAGAAAAAAAAAAAAGCAACTCTTGCTCTAGTAAAGAAAGCCTAAACCACAAATTAGTGATAATTCTGCAGGAAAGGCCTCAATCTGCCTTATGCAGATGTGTACTGCCTGGGAAGCCTCCAGCCCCAGGTGTACTACCATGCACGGAAGCAGCCTGCCAGCAAAGGAGAGCTGAGGGCTTCTCCAAAGAGGGATCTTGGCTCAGCCAGGGCCGAATGGGATGTGGCATCACCAGAGAGGGAGACCTGTGACAAGAGGCCTTGCAGCTCCTCTGGCCTGGGACAGAACTGCATAACTGGCGTAAAGAGGGATTCATGCTAGGTCTGATTGAGACTGTGCACTGCACAGTCAGACTGCTTTGAAGGTTTGCCTTTTGCAATCATTTCCATTGTCAGGAATCAGAAAAAAATGTGAGAAGACTGTGGACAAAGGGTTTAGGCACTGAAATTTAACCCAGTGGAATCATTATGGTGTAACATATTTGTCAGGGAACTGAAGCCTCTATGCTCTTCCCACAAAAAACACACCCATTAGCATCGTGTGCTGTGCACGTGCACCCAAACATCTGATGCAGCTATGGGTACATCTGAATGCCGACCCGCCCTCCCAGCTGCACTGCATTCAGCCTTCTGCAGTATTTCTCCCCTGCTAGGGAAAACAAAGCCATCAGATCCTTCAGGATTCTCTGGAAGTCCTTGCATGACATTTTCTTTCGAAGAATGTTTAAGATTTGATTTTTAAATATCCATAACTCATTTAAGAAAATTCACTGAGTGTTACAACAATCTTCTTAATATACCTAATGATTTTTTTCCCACCAGTGTCATAACATTATTAATGTCAAAATATGAATACCGAAAAGGAAAAGGTTAGTCAGTTCCAAAGCTGTTCACTCTGATGCAGGCTAAGGCAAAAACCCAGCTGGTGTGGTTTATATATCAGCAGACATGACACCAACAGTTTCCATCTCAGTTATACTCTGCACAGCCAGCTATTGAGCAGCCACTGCTTCTCCTCAAACTAGTCCAAGAGCACCAAGTGCCTCACACCAGGAGCACAGCCCTCTGTAGAAGTAATCCTTAGCAGAAGATAGCCCACCAGTGTTTTGGTGAACCAATGCAAAATATGCTGACAAGAACATGGTAATTTGGAACTTGGCAAGGAAGACTCACTCTAAATCATTTCCAACTGCATTAAGATTTTGCTCCTGTTTTACAAGTAACAGAAGATGCTATCCCTGTTTTATAAACTCATTCAGCTAATATGTTTAAGAAAGTAGACAAGTTTCTCCTGCAGGGGTTTTCAAGTATTGTATTCCCTTGCAGCTGCCAGAATTTCGACATCCCACCCCAGAAACACTGCATACTACTCCCTGGGAAAGAAAAAGAAAAGAAGAAAAGCAAACAAACAAACAAAAAAACCTGCTGCGTACTTGGAAGAGGAAAATGGCTAGAAGAACAAAAAATGATGAATGACAATTACCTATTACTTGGTGAATACTGGAGGGTTGTATGTATGAATGTATGTGTATGAATACTGTAGGGTTCCCTGTTGCTACAGTACGCAGCAAAGTAGAATGTAGAAAGTCTTTTTACTCTACCTAAGAGGGCAAAAGTATTTTCAGGATGTTGTATACAATAGAGCTCATATCTACAATAATCTCCATGCCAACATGATTTGCAAGTTCAAGACTAAGTTCCAAATGTGTTTCAACCCAACTGCAGTAGCTTCATCTTTTGAAGAGAAAGTACTGAGCAGTCTTAGTCCCACCACTCAATTCAGTGAGACTCAAATATCCTCAGTTTTCCTCTGGATGTGCTCAAAACTTTGCTAACAGCATTCCTGAAGCCAAACAATTTTCCTCTCTTCCTAAGAGGCCCAGGTACTGCAGACCCAAATGTGGCAGAACCTCAGAGTCCTTGCTCTCCTTTTGTACCTGTGGGAAGTCTGAGTTCACTCTATCCTTTCCGATAGGAACAATGACACATAAGCACACCAAATAATGTATTGCTGCTTCCCTCCACAGCAAATCTTGCCTTAATTAGGAGGAATTTTGCAGATGTACTATTTAGCATGCCAGGATCATGACACTATTGTAGCATGCAGAATACAGCCCTTTTATCATCATCAGATCTGATTACTTCTCTTTTTAGCAGCTACTAATGTGTTTGGGGATGCAAAAATCACAACACTTTCCGAAAGGTAGTGGTGGGAAAAAAAAAATCTCAGCATAGAATGAATTCTATAATTAGAAAAGGCAGAGGGGATATCGTTTTCCTCCCCCTCATCAAGCTTGGGAAGCTCTAAACAATATGCAAAGACAAAAGGGGGAAAATTGATAAAGTGCTGAGAAGGATAAAATTTGAATGAGATAATAACAAACCTTTCTTGTGGAAGGAAAAGGAAATGACTGATTCTAAAAAAGCTTCTGTGATAAATCAACACCCTCGCATGAAATTCCACTGATACATGCTGCAGCGTCTGGTCATAACGTTAGAGAAAAACAAACAGGAACAAAAACTTAGCAACATTTCTATAAAGAACAAAACACAGCTTGTTGGAAATACTGAGGTCTTGCTGTGGTTCAAACAGTAGAAGTAGATTTCAGAACCTAACAAGAGTTTCAGCAGCTGTATTTGTATTACAGTCATAAAAGCGTAAACGTGAAATACAGCTCTAATAAAAATTGAAGTTTATAAAACTGGTTGGTAATTTTCCACCCGTTCCAGAAGCATCTCAGAATATCCAGGGGAATAATACCTGAAAGAGAAACATATTGTTTGTGCATTAGACTACAAAGCATGTTCTGTGCCAAGTAATGAAACTATTCATATTTCTATCGATCAGGAAAAAGTCGTGGCATTAAATAGTGGTCAAGGAATTTTACAGTTATTCTCTGACAGCACTGTAAGAGCTTGCTTTTCAACTTACGGGATCATTTATACTTGGAAGTCAGGTTTTCAAAAAATATTTGGCTTCTTTTGGGGCGTACAGGTAAGTGACCAGTTTTTGGACAGTTCAGCAGCCATAAGCATTGCTGTTTCTGGGAAGTGTAGATGTTAACTTCTGTTGAAATGATGGCCTTTAATAACACGGCATGAGTTTACACAGAACCATAGGCTAACAGACAGCAACAGTCTACTGCTGTTTGTGAAACATAACCACACACACCAAAGCCAATGTGAAGTCTACGTCACTTCAAGAGGCATTATGGAATAACAACAACAACAAAAATCACAATGACTTTCTGTCTGTTACAGAGATTATCCAGTAAGTTCTCATGAAAGAATGCTGTGGTGCCATTACTGTCCTGCTGTCACTCAGTTTTCCACAGTGGCCAACTACATGCCTCCTAGTATGCAAGGATCATCAAAGCAGCATTTAGTTCTTGTTTTCCAGGTTAAGAATATGTGAAAATTATTACTATGTTACTCTACAAACATAAATCACAGTACATTTCTTGTTTTGCAGACATGTTAAATTGCCACCTCTGAACCCTGGAAGCTTTAACTATAAGGACAAAGGAACGTTTCCATGCACTATATGCCTAAAATGTACTTAAGTGAAAAAACTCCAATGCATTCACATTAAACAAAGATCCATTTAACTTGCTGACTTCCTGGCTGATTCTGTACAATGAAACTTATTAAAATTTTAAAAGAACTCAAATTAGTTCTCCAACCGTACAGGTAACTTGTCAGTGTGCTGTTATCATATACAGGCTGCAAACAGCTTGAAATAATAGGGCTCCAAAACAACCCCAGAGCTGATGTCTATTGTAGCAGCTGTGGCTTGGGCAGCAGAAACCACTATCCATTAGCATCAAGATGCACGCAAGAGATGTTGGAAAGGCCCTTTTCTTTGTTATGTCCCAGTCTACGCGAGTAATTTTGTTTCATTTACACAAAAATAAAATAGTTGGACAAGGAAACATTGATTATATCCAGAGACATATAAACATCCTCTTTCGCTCCGAAGTATCAGTAGCTGTAGAATAAAGTTCCTTTATGATTTCACTTTTACCCATTTGATAGCTACTGGCTTTTCCTCATGGAGACAACAGGGCTCCGTTTTGCATGACTGTAGCTACTACTAGCTAAAGATCTCCTTTGCTGTAATTAAAATTGATGATGCAGATTTTCAGAGCCTGTAGAGGGAGTGCATGAGTACGACATCCTTTTGATGTGTTGATGGAGTGAAGGACTGGTGAATGGATATCTAGAATCTAGGGGGGTATTTACCTCCTTATTACAATTTAGGATAGTGACATTTTGACTGTAAGCTATTTAATAGTGTTTCTGTATTCATTAAGGGCAAAGTTCAACTTGGTGCAGACAGCTGGTGTATGGTCCTTTTATATTTCACTTAAGCCTCATGATGAGGCTGGGGGAGGAAGGGCAGCTGCGGACAGAGCAACTGTAGGAGAGCCTCTGGACCCTCTGTACATCAGACAAAGTTTCAAAGGAGCATCTGAATATTCTAGGATTTAGCCAGGCCCTTAGGGAAGTTAAGGGTGTAAGCAAAAATTCACTGATATCTGAGAAACCAAACATAAGTTCCTAAGATAAACTAAACTTGCCATAGGTATTTATATCTCTGAGTGACTGTGCTGAAGCCTCAGAGTTTGGCTGGGTAGTGCAGGACTGACTCTTCTTCCCCATTTCCTGCATCAGCCTCATTATTTGGGCTTTGTTTACAGACAAAGAAACCTAATTCCAAAACCAATCAGAAAATAGAAAGTGCTCAGAAGTATATCTCTAACATTTGTGCATACCACTGGGACATTTAACCAAATGCTACACTGTTCTATTGAAAACTAAAATCATGTGGGAGTTCAATTAACATTTTAAATCCTCATTTTGTGCTGCTTCTATTACGAACATTTCATGTTATACATGTGCATTCTTTTTTAACTTTCCCTACCTTACTATTTCCTCTGGGTAGCAGTTGTTAATAGTGTTGATATACTCCTGAAGAAGTGACCCAGGTTCTGCTTTTATTTCTTGAACCTTTTTAAGCCCACCAGTTGTTACAAAGAGACGACGTGCTTTACTGTCATGTGGTAACACCTACATAGAGAAGTATATTAAAAATATGTACTCTATTAAAGCAACCTCTGTGCTACTAGCCTCAAATATTGCTAACTTGTTTTAATTCAGAGGACAGATAAAATGGAACACATTAGAGATACAATATCTGTAACGACTTCTGTATTTTAACACGGTTATACAGCAAGTATCATAAACCAGCCCTTTATTGTTAAAGCATAATTTAACATGTACTTTAATACATAACACAGATAAAAATAGCAAACTGAACATTTATCATTACATAAATAATATTTCTTGAATTATCCCTACAGAGACAAGATGATTGTGGAGATTAAACAGATAATAAAAACAGAACACTAACATGGAATAACAACAGCATTTGTTCCACTTAAGCCAAGTTATTCGGGTCTTTTATGTCAATTCCCACAGTTTAATTGTAGAGCAGAATTTTATATCATTATAATGATCTAGTATAGATTATTGTGTGAAGACAATACTGAGAATTGTTGCAAGTGAACAATGCAGCCTCGAAGCATTACATGCTGCTATTAAATTCCTGGATATTAAAATCCTACAACACACTGTGTAGCCATGGAAGCCTTTTTACACACATATACACACAAAGCAAAAATGTGAAGTTTCTGCAGCCAAAGGGGATGAGAAGCAGAAACGATCAGACAATACATTCTGCACTCCCTGAGTAATGCCAATATGCAGCTCCGTCCAGAGGACGAAAGAGAGGGAGGTGGGGGCTGGGCCAGGCGACGGAGAGCGACAGCATGTAGTCTGCAGGCCCACAGGGCTGCAGGAATAATAATTATTATTATTTTAAAAATAAATTATAAAAAAAAAAAAAGGATAATCCAAGATGTAAATGTCAGCAAAAACAGATAGGTTTAAAGCCAACTCTGAGAGCTGCATACTATGGGGGCAAAAGATTTTTGTAAGCCTTCACACTGATGGGACAAATCAAGCCCATAAATTTGATTGTGTGTCAGTGCAAAACATGAGCCTTGAAGGAGGAAGGGATTGCCTAAAAGACTGAAAGAAAATCAGGATGAGATTTCTGGCAGGCATACAGGCAAACAGCCTTCACTCCTCTGGTCCCTCTAAGCTGCAGTAATCTGCAAAAGACTGGTAAGAAAAACACAAGGCTGCATAGACACTTCTCCCTGCTGTGTGCTGGGAACAACTGGGAACTCCGAAGTGGCTGTTTCCACGTTCCTCCTACAAGAACTGCCAAGGAACAACTAGCAAGGAGACAGGATCTGGCCCTTTCCCTGCCTTCTGCCTCCACACTGTGGTTCCCAGGCTGGATAAGACAGCAGAAAAGTCTCTTGGAAGAGGCTCTAAAGATAGACTACACCTCGGAGACCTAGTGTCTCCCTCTTCCCAGTCCAAACTGAGACAGCACAGAATTGCAAAGACCGTGGAAAGGGCAACACTAAAATGACACAGTCCAGCACCAAAAACACATAGCATCCCACCCTGAAGCACAGCTTGGAAATAAAGCTTTTACTGTGCTATAAATGAGCCAACAGAGCCAATGCATCTCAGGTTTAAAAATAGGAAATTCCTAAGTTATGGTATTGGAGAGAAAAAAGCTTTTAGTGCAAAGGACTTAATTTTAAATGTATACTTTAGAAGAACAAATGCTAGACAAGTACAGTTTGTTTAATACAGTGTAGAAGAAAAATTAAACAAAACATCAGCTGATATGAAGGGTACAAAACCGCTTCAACAGCAAACAGCATTCAAATGTATACACGGGGTAACCAATTACTACACATTCAACTCTTCAACAGTTCCAGTCAGCACACAGAAGCAAAGGCACTGGATTCTGACTAAATCTGCAGTACACACTACAAACAGTGGCACTTCCAGATCATTGATAAAAGGAACTGATTGCTAATCAGAAGTGCTTTGCTTGGTCATTTCCAAAAAGAAACACCTCACCAAGAGAATCTGGTATCCCCTGCTAACAGATTACATTGCACGGTATTGCACAAAAGAAAGGCCTACAGCTGAACAAGGCTTTCAATTGCTGGTGATCAAATCAGACACTGGAATTTTGATTATATTGCATTATATTGCAAATGTAATATTTTGATATTGCAGTGAAATAGTTTGATTGCATTTTGATTAAACCGCATTTCTCTTTACACGTTGTGCTTAAATCAGTAACGTAATTAACAATAAGCAACTGAAAATTTTAATGGAGATAAGAATAGTGAGGCCTTCATACTCTAATGTAAAACATCCAACTTAAGCCACTCCTGGACAGACAGCTTGCAGTTTGTCTAAAACAGATGTAACTGGGATTTACGTGATACTTTGGCTCAGTGAAAATATTCGCATGTGAGTTATTTTGTTTCATCTCAAGAGGCAAAGAAGAAAAAAACACCTTGCTTATAATTAACTGTTTTCCCACTGTCCTGGGATGAACTATAGAAGGTTCCAGATAAAACCATATCCATCTTTAACAGGCAACAAAGCACAATGCTCCAAACTGCTTCTACAGGGGAAGCTTGAGGATCCTGAGACAACAACTAAGACCTATATGAAGCACCTATATGCTTCATATTTGGAAGGATAACTTTCTTGATAAATGGAAAATGATTACTCATCAAGCAGAGCCTTTTCTTACCTTGCTAAACTGCCCAATAATGTGTTTCATAATGTTGGGAGGGGCATCGTGCAGCAATGGTTCAAGTGCTGGAAGATAAGTGCATTTCTGAAGGATGCTCTTTAAGGCTCTTTTAGTCTATTGAAATGCAAAACAAAATTTCTACAGTGAGACATCAATGAAAACAACAAGAATTCATGAAACATATCTTGAAGTCTAAGCAAAAAAAGCAAATTGATCAGAATTCTCAAAGTGCGTTTTTTAAATAAAAAATATTATATCCATCAAGTCACTTAATGAAGAATCAATTTTCTACTTAGATTTATTAAGCTTCAAAACCTATGGTGCATCATATTATTATTAAGTTATCTATGGTCAAAGTAATGGCAATTTGACTTTGGCTACAGTGGAAGCATGAGTAGACCCTTTAAGTAAATTGAAGTACTTCAACATAATAAGAAAGCTAAATCAAAATACAGTTTAAAAGATTGTATTTTACAAGTGGCTTACTGGGAGAGCATGCTGGTGTGGGGTAGCAGAGTGCATTACCATCCAGACAGAAAGGAACAGGGACAGTGAGACTCAGTGCTGGCTACAAGAAGCAGTAACGGCCTCACTGGGTCAGATTCTAGGTACAACTAATTTGGTCTTGATATTTTTGTGAGCACTGAAAACAGCAATACAGAAGTTGTCATCTTGTCTTACAGATCTGAGATTTGTTGTACTTTGGCGGACTGTAAAGAGGCACAGTACAACCTGGAAGAACGTATCCTGTCATATTATACTATTCATTCAGTTCATTTACTGTCACCCAAAACTACCCTTTATCAAAGTCCAGCTTTGGGAGCTCCAATGGAATTAAGGCCCTAACAGGAACAGTCACATGTTTTCAAGAGAAGAGTACTTCAGTTACTTGTTACAGGTTTATTACAATAATAAAAATGTAAACAAATCTACTATGAGCTCTATAACACTTCATACAAGAGCCCATACTTGAGAAAAAAAGGTAGACAATTAGTCACTTGTAGGACATAACAGTATTTGTGAGTACACACAACTCTGATCTAAAGTAGGAAGAAAATGAAAGATTACACTGCTATGGCTGTATCATATGATTGCATATGCACCATACACATACCCATGCATTAGGGCCAGTCAGTCCTAATAAATGATACACAGCCTTCAGGCACAGGAAATCCATAACTTATTGAATATCAGTAAAAACACATACCATGTATAGTTTTTAAGCACTTAGATACGTGGTTACATTGAATATCTCATACTGCATACACTTTGAATATACTTGCTTTCAGCTGAAGATCTTCTGAACTGCGTGTGTCCATATACATAGAAAGCATTGTGGCTAGCACATTTGTTACTGCTACTGCACGTGCATGCTCAGGAGTATGTCTGCCAATCTGTCCCAAGGCCCACGCAGCTGCTGCCTTAATATGATCTTCATGTTCTTCTAACAAACAGGTACACAGTGGTGGTATTCCCTGTAGCAGTAACCAAAAGCACTGCCTTTAAACTGATACAGACTGTTAGAAAATGTTTCTCTATTTACACTCTTCCTATAATATAAGCTAGAAGAGAATGATTGCTATTTGTTGTCATGTCTTTACATCATCGTGACTAGCAAGAATTTTGAATAAATCTTTACAAATTTAGTTAAACAATGAGAGAAACAGATTCAATATTGTGTCCATTTAAGCTAACAGACTTTAAGGGATAAAAAGGAATGCATCACACAATTCAGGCTGTACTAAGACTAAAGTCTGCTTGAGTTGAGCAGTTCATGTTTGATGCATCCAATATCTTCCAAAAAAGGTTTAAATGCTTGATGCGAAGACATCAAGAGATGAAGAATACTTCACTCACTTCTAGCAGTTACTGAAGTTCTTGTGGATAAGGGGTCTCAATCTTTATCCTTTCTCCACAGAATTATGGAGCTGTTCAGTAGCCAGTATTTCACGTCCAGGATGCTTCAACAGATATCAAAACTTCACAGTACTTTAGGTGGGTCAAAGCTACTAAATCTCTAACTATAAACCCTTTTTCTTCCATCCTCTGGATCATCAATGGCCTCTTCTGCATCCCCTTTGTTTTTCTCAAGATCCTTCTCAAACAGACAATGGAAAAATATGCACTTGCAATACAGATTGAATCACTGCTTGTGTTCCAGCAGTGTTTCACCTTCTACTTCTTAATATAGCAAAGGACTCGAGTGTCTCTTTCCTCACAGCGCTGCAGCAGAAGACCACACTGAAGTGTCTGTCCAGTACAACCCACTAAGCCACTTTTTGATATTCATCTTTTCGAGCACTTAGTACAGCCATATGCAGCTATAACATCCTAGGTGTATAGCTTTCAAATGGTCCCAGTTTACCAAGCATTACCTTTTGCATTATGCATCTCTCAAAAAAGCTTAGTTTCCCCTAAAGGAAATATTTTTAAATGGGATTCAGATCTTCTGTGAATCATTTGTTAAAATATTTCATTTCAGATGTCTGCACAGATCCATACAAAACCTTATTGCATTCTCATTCAGTTACAGTAGCAATCATTATTTTTCAGAAATTTAACACATAGGTGGTTCCTCTTGAAGATAAGCCTGGATTCATCATGATTAAGAGTTTAAAAGCAGAAGCATACTGTGCAACCCTTATAGGGGTGAGACATGGGCGTACCCACAAAAGGTGGATCTCCCCAAAGAGCAAGCCAAAAGACCATTTCTTCAGTCTTCAAATGCAGAAGAGAATTTTTTTTTATCACACCCACCCTCTCTGTGCATATACAGATGTTATGTTGTACAATTTTCATTTTTTAACTTGCATTTCTACCAGCAAACACTTCCATTCCTCAGTTTTTATTGCTTGGTTGTCTCTATTCACATGGTAAACTTTAAACCGTAGAATGATTTGGGTTGGAAGGAATATTAAAGATAATCTAGCACCAGTTCCCTATCATGGGCAGGTGCACTTGCTCAAAACCCCACACAACCCGGCCTCGAACACCTCCAGGAGTGGGGCATCCACAGCTGTGCCAGCACCTCACATCTCTCTGAGAAAAGAATTTCTCCCAAATATCAAATCTAAATCTACTCTTTTAATTTAAAATCATTTCCACTTGTTTTATCACTGCACTCCTTGATAAAGATTCCCTCTCCAGCTTTCCTTTAGAACCCCTTTAAGTACTGGAAGGCTGCAATGAGATCTGCCCGAGCAATTCCAGCTCCCTCAGCCTGCCTTCACAGGAGAGGTGCTCCAGCCCTCTCAGCATCCTCATTGCCTCCTCTGAAGCTGCTCTAACAGGTCTGTATCTTCTTCATGCTGAAAGCTCTACAGCTGAACACAGTACTGCTGCCAGTGGAGTCTCATGAAAGTGGGAGAATCACCTCCCTCAACCCACCCGCATGAAAACGGACCAACAGTGCTCAGTGAAATTACTTCCTCGTGTCATTAGCATCATTCACATTAGAATATTACCTCAGGCACTAATTTCATCTATTGCAAATATTGCAAATATCCCTACTACATCATCTTTCTATCCCAATGCCCAGCAGAATTTATTTAAACCTGAAAACATACAGCTTATCTCATTTGAAATATGACTTGCACAATTGAATCAAACTATGCTACATTTCAGAAACGGAAGTCTTTGCAAGTCTGAAGATTTCAGTTGCAAGATTATTCTAACAGTCATGCTAGTGCAATAAAGAATCTGCCATTAAACATTCTTGTTTCAGAAGGAGTTTTGATGTAGCCACAAATATTCATTTTAAGATGAAACAGGCCATAGAAATTCTCTGACTTACTTTTGTATTCATTCAATTGCAGCACAGAAAAATAATGTAGTAGAATACAAATAGATGTTCAGAAATGCATCCAGGTCATTTTATAAAAGGTTCAGCTTGATAAGGACCAACTCTGATCAGGCTACCATATAACCTCAGACATTGCAGCAGCAATATTACAAGAAAGTGCATTAATCAACAGCAAGTATATAATTCTGTCACAAAACACATGCTCTGCCTATGTTAATTTGTATCTCTTTCTCAGAACACCACTGAAGAATTATAGGAAGAAGGCAAAGTGATAGCTAACCTTGGAGACAATAACTGCCATTGACAGGTTCTCTGAATGAGCTGCTACATAACCAAGCATCATGATGCCAGGCAGTCTGACAGTCCCTTTGCAGCTGCCAATACAATCAATCACAGCAGCAACTCCACCTGCATTTACTATAAACTGTGAAAGCTGTAAAGATAAACAGAACAGATTAGATACTGTGAAGTATCAACAAGCATAAAGCATCACGTTATAAAAGTCCTTACATGTATTGCTCCTGACTTAGAAAATAAAACTGGGATAAGACTGACGTATCACACTGACTGTTAAGCACTGAGTGAAGCATGAAGTCCTCAGGAACTAACCTGTCTTGCTATCCTGGTTTTGATTCACTTTACTGCAAGGAAATCAGGATTCTGAATTTCTGATGTTGAAAATGTTGTTCCATGCTATGCAACCGCATTATTATACAAAACAACTTATACAGTTATACCAAAGAACCATGCAAATGACAGCCAAATACACAGATGACCTTGAAGACACAACTACTAAGCCAGATGCTCTTTCATACTGTTGTACATTTGTTCTCCAAGCCAGCAACACATGTTCTGTGCAAGGAAAGAAGGAAAAGCTCACACCTCCTCTCACCTGTGTTCTATAGATAACCTCAGCAGCATTTGTGATGTGTTAAAGCCTTTGTGATCCTCCTCCCCCACACCAAGGTGTGAATCCAAAGACAGCTGTCATGGTTGCCCAAAACCAACTTGGGCTACATCACTCTGTCAACACTGTGTATCTAAAGGACACATCCAGGGAGCACACTTCATGAGCAGTGGACTTTTCTCCAGAATCTCCAATATAGCCTTGCTTATAAATGATAATCATGTCCATAGTCTGTGATGTTTGCTGTGTACATTAAGCTACGTGACATGTTTAATTCCAAATGATATTGCTTCTCACATCACTTAAGGGACAGCAGTAGAGAATATACGGTATCAACAATGCATATAAATTAACATAATTCCATATTATGATTATTTCTTTCTACGTTGTTGGGTATACACCACATCTTTGCAAAGATTCTAAAGTAAAAGTAACACCTGCTCAAGAGTTGCAATAACATAAACAAAAGTTGAAGGCAGGTGGATTTCCAGTCCAGCTGATTTCTAATAGTATGAAATCCACTCTTACCTTTGAGCCTTTTATAAAGAGATGGCTTTATTTGTGACACAGCCACAGGAAATGTAAAGTTACTGCTTAGGAAAAAGCGTTCACATGGTAGCTAACTGCAGTCAGTGATGGCCAAGCTCTACATCTGGGCTCACGCATGTGCAGCGATGTACACTACTACTGCACAGACACAAGCAGGCTGCAAATCTCATGTTTAAACAATTCTCAGCTGTTAAGCTAGTATTACGATGGTTGTGTTCAGCACTAGTGCTGAAACAAATACATTGCTTGCATTTCTTTCCATACTCATATTTAGAGTCTGTTAAATGTCTTTGTGATTTGACAGATTAATGTAGTTCTAATTATTTATTTTTTCTATGCATTTTGCATTTGCTTTGCTGATTCTCACAACCCTTCTGCACCTGTTATTGGCGAAAAGACTGCAAATGCTGAGAATCAGATCAAAAGCTCAAGCTATCAGGAAAAAACTATCATCAGTTTAACAATAAATGAGGGGATTTTTGAGTTTCATTGTTGTTGGAAAAATAAAAGAAATGCGATACGAGCACTCCCTAAAAGATGTTTTCAGAAAGACACACACCTCTGCTATTGTCGCAACACGTTCGTGTCACCTATAAGCTGCTATCATGACTTCTGTGAGGCTTTACTTGTGGTATTTTTAATATCTGACACTGACAGCACTGTCAGCCTAAAACTCCCTTTCTGCACTGATATCTTATGGAATGATTAGCCAGGTGCATTTTATGCGATTCCCAATTTTCCTAAGCCAATTCATATTCAATACACATCTCATAATATCAGCAAGCATTTCCATATTTTTCCAATGAATATGCCAAACAGCCATTTGCCCTCCCTTTCAAAAAGCAAATGACAGAATAATCCTGTATTTTATTTAAAGTGTAAAATCTAATGATATGACCTTGTATTTGCATTTTCAAGGTTTTACCTCAGGCGAATGCTTTGCTATCTCTCTAATTAAAGTTGCACCATTTTTCTTGACATATTCATCCGAGTCCTTCAGGCATGTGAGCACAACTGGGAAAATTTCTGCTTCAACCACCAACTCTGCAAGATCCACTGAATGCTTTGCTATTTGGCTTAGCGCTGACAGCACCTGACACTAGTAAATAAAAATTGTTATAAAATCAATAGTAGACAAACAGCCTGCAACATGCACTCCTCCTGCACACAAAAATCTATTGCATCAAGGAAAACAAAGAGGATAGAGAAAACAATTACAGCTACTTTACAATTCACTGAATCAATTCATGCACGAATATAATGGCTCAGAACGTTTGCTGGTTGCTGAATAAAAGTTTCTCCTTTGTTTCATGCCATTCAAACTTACTATGTCATAAAGAAGAAACATATATATACATATGTAAATTAAAAAATTTAAACTATATTAAAATTCAGTGACATCTACAGAAAAGTATCTTTATTTGCCTACGTTTGGTGTGCCAGATCAATTATTTAAATCACTGTATCTATTTGTTTGAAGTGGCACTTTTATATTTTCTTTTGTTACTGTTAAACACGAAAATTACGCTAAGAAAAAATCGTGACTTTTAGTCCATTAAACTTGTGAGAAATTCTTAAACAAGAACAATTCATATCGCATAGCACATTCTAAAATACAATAATACATTTAATATTAACTTATAGTATAATCCTAAGCACACAAAACCTTTTTTGTAACTGAATTGTGCAGATTTTCTCTATTAAAAATATTTGTTAGAGAAATTCAAAGGATGGGGTTTCATACATCAGATTGCATTCCTCACACGATACTTCATAATTAAAATAAATAAAACGCTGTTCATTGAAAGATTGATTTAACTGCTCCTCACTGGGTGGCAGTTTTTATCCAGCAGCTAAATCTGTGAACGTGTTCAGAACTCTGTCACGGCGTAGTTACCTTTTGCGAACGTTCAAAACAAGAGCTTTCTAAATAAATATACACATCTGTGTCAATGATTCAGTATCAAGTAACGACTGGTAAAATGGAGATTAAAAATAATTTTTAAATGTACCTTCAGTTTAGCATCAGGGTTCAGGATCATCTGAGCTAAGAAAGCGATAGCTCCTGCATCCACTACTGTCTGTGCTAACTCTGGAGAATGCTTTGAAATATCGCTAAGAGTTGAAGCAGCAATCCTTTTCAAAGCAATTTCTGGCTCCTGGATACAGAGCACTAAAAGAGGAACGGCTCCTGCATCCACCACAGCTTGTGACAGTTCTGTAGGTCCAAGGAAAGTAATTAAGTGAGTATGGGTGACTGACCCTTGTGCAAGCCATTTTTCACCCTGACAGATACAGCAAAGGAAAAAGGGGAGGGTGTAGTTCACTGTCTCGACATCTGCATTTCAAATCAGCCCTCCTGGTTTCATAAACCATGTGGACCAATCCAAAACTGAAAAGAATGCAGGTCAATAGATGGACCCCCATTTACATGCACACATTTGAGGTAGATTAGGCTGAAATGGTTTGTTATTCTGTTTTCTTTTTCTTTTTTTTAAAGTAAGCAGATGTCAGCTGTTTAAACCCTGGCTATTCTACACTGATCAATAGGAAAGCATTTTATGCATGGCTAACAACAACACAGAAAGCCAAAGTACCAAAATTTTACCAACCACCTAATTAGAGAGCATTTTACCCTCTTTAAATGATAAGCAGATATTAGCATAGATCAAATGCCAAAAACAGAAATACAAAAAACACACATAAAAGATTTATCTTACATAAAAGACTGGAAAAACAGAACCGACCAAAATGAGGTTTTGCAACCATACATGGGAAAATACAGAATTTATTCCTTAGTGACATCAAAATGTTATTGTAGACAATTAGATAAATGCGAAATATCATCATTGAGTGTCTGAGATTAGTACAGTATCCTTAACTAACTGCACCTTAAATAAGAAAAAAAAGAATCTGAGCACATGATTAGCTTACAGGGACAAAAATTACACCATTGGAAATTCATTAGCTCTTTCTATATATATGCAGCATTAAGCACAGTCCTAAAATAAGAATTACTGGATACCACAAGCCAAATGTGTTCTGTAACAAAGCTGTGCTGTTTCCAAATAGTGTGGAAAAGCAGTAAAAATCACGATGAATTCAATAGTCTATTAGGTCTTAGCTCAGTTTTGCTACATCTTATTATGCATATCCATTATTATCTTTAACATTTATCTTGACTTGCAGTACCATGGCAACATATAGCTGTTGTATTTCAAGACTCTAACTTAGCTTCTGATTTATAGTCCATCCATAAAGACATTTTCATACTAAGAAAAATATAGCATACTTCATTAAATATACATAGACTAATACAGTTCTTCATGAAATCTGTAAGTCATGTCATCATTAGGTTGTTAGCATCCAAGTAATATTCCTGACCAGATTTGTTTTCAATTAGTGAATTATAGTCACACACTCCAAGGCATGTGATAACTCAAATATTTACACTATACATTATTTCACATGATATCATATTTTAAGCAAAGTATAAACATCACCTCAGAAATTGTAAGTAATGCAGCGATTTTTTAAATAAACTAGTACAATATTAAACCTCCAAGTAACTTCTTGGCTGAAAGTATACAGAGTGCACCCTGCAAATAAACACATCATGTGATTGGAACAAAACCCTGCCTGATGGTCCGGCTGCAAGTTTACAGATTTGAGACGAAATGTACCTGCAGCATGTATGAAAACAGACTGGAGAACTAGCTAAACATTTCAAGGAGTATAAGCTACATTCAACTTTCATGGAAAAAATACACCTGTCTTTTTCTCCAAATTACATTTTGATACTCTATGCTGACAGAGAGAAATACATCGGGAACTACTGACCAAAGGTCTGGCTTAATTCATCAGACTGTGCCCAGTTACAGACAGCGTCTCAGAAGCAACTTCAGAGCAACCATCTCAACTGCCTGCAGTCTACTGATGAGATGCTAATATCACGTCAAGAGGTAATAATTACGTCAAGAGGTACAGGACAGTTCTAGAAGAAGGTGTTTGTTTGATACCTTATGAGCTGAAATCAAGTAAGGAGGGAAAGAGCAATACCTTAAGGTCACAGCAATGCCCAGGTATGTAAAAGTAACCATAGAAGTAATTTTAAAAGAGCAAAGTCAATCTGATTCAATTAAGATCAGCTCTTGCTGTTAGAAGCTTGATATCATTTAAATACTGATGGTTACTGTTGGTCGTGGTTAATTAAGTGGTCCTCCTTCCAGTGGTGTTTGTAAAGTTCAAGGCTAATAACTTACCACACGTAGGGCTGCACCAGGTGTCAAGACAGCTGAATAGTAAAAAGACTGTCAGAAAACTGGGGAAGTTGAAGCAGGACAAAAGAAAATACGTATTCTCCCATCACTTCCCCCTGCCGACTCAGCCCAAAACTATGATACTAAGTACTAATGAGGCTATGGTAATTGCAATTCTTTTTCTCAAAAAGATGATTAATCTCCCAAGTTAGTAGAAAATCTTTAATTCCAACTGTGCAATAAGGATTTTTAAAACTTTGCTATCCAATTGCAGAATACAGATAGATACGGAGAAAAAAATAATGCTGAGAAAGAGTTAAAGGAGAAAATACAGTTTTCAGGAAGAAATTTTTAAAAACAAATATTCAGACAAAGAAATTAAAAGAGATGGAATAGATTAAATTACAGAAAGACTTAACACTCTTCCAAGAATGTGTTATGTGGGTAAAGACCAAACCAGCAGAAGGAGAAAGACAACAGGAAAAAAAAGAAAAGAAAAAAATGAATTTGTGAATATCATTTAAATCAACAGAAGTTTAGGAAAAAGGCAAGGTCGGAATTGTAGCCTGAGACACAGACCAAAGAACTCACCCAGCTGTATGGTGATTAAGCAGGACTTCTCCTTGCATGAGAGTAAGCAATGAGTGTGATTCTACATATAAGGAGAGACAACAGAGCTTGGACTCAACACTCACTACAAGTAAGATGCTTTTGTCCAGAAATATGGAGAGGATTTTAGCAGAGGGATATACTACAGACAGGAGGACAGACTGACACAGAGCTACGAGGAAGACTGATAAAGAAACACATTGGAGTTTAAGATGTCACCATTTCAGCTAGAAGCTGTACTAGAGTTGTACTGATTTGTCTCAGTATAGAAGTGTTCACCAGGGACTGAAATTAATTCAAAGTAACTTGAAGCCTAGTCATGAGTTTGTGTGATCAGGAAGAGTTGGAAGTGAACAAAGAGAAGTCAATAAACTCCTGACTACACACCCTCTGAAATCAATGGAGAGTCTTATAGGATTGATCTGAAACAAAAAATCCATACTAACATTAACAAATTAGCAGTAAGAGGAAGGGTTTTTAAAGAAAAAAAAAAAAAAAAAGTGAGGCAGAAAAATGAATAGGAGGAAGTGAATGTGATGGTAGTCCCTGGGGAGGAAAACCACTGTAGGAATATAGCAAGAAAGCAGCAGCAAAACCTTCTTTGCTTGGAAACAAATGTATGTTTCAGTCAAGAGCGTGGTTCTCAAACAGACCCTGCTGTGGTGGCAGGTGTATCCACAGGAAACAACAGGTTTTGACTAACACAACCACCAATACTGTATTTTTCTGAATAACACGTGATTATGTGATGACCACATAGAAAGACTCTAATCCCCACAAGTAGTCCAAAAGGCTGCACTCCGAGATCACTAATTTATGCAGACCACTTCAACCACAGTGGTGAATATTTCACTGGAAATAGAGGGAAAAGCTCAAATCAGTGGGATGGTGGTTGTTAATTATGGGGCATACTTAGATCTTGGAATAAGACAAAGTTCCTACTAGACTGAAATCACTGAAGATGTGAGCAATGTTGTAGCTGACTCTGCTCTAAGCAGGGATCTTGACTAGAACCCTCCTGAGGGCCCTTCCAACCTGAACCACCCTATGATCCTAAGGCACCACGGCATGATAGAAAATGAATTTAAATCCTCTCTCAGCAATATGCTTGAGTATAAATAGCATTGATTATTTTCATTTTACTATCAGTTCACTGTATGCTAAAGCAGGTACAAGCACTACTAAATTACATCTTTCATGCCATTCTGAAGGCAAAGAAAATGGGAAGCTAAGTTATATGCATTTCTTTCTAACAAGAATGTTGCATTCAAATTAATTGTACAAGTAAAATTTTATAAAATACTTTTCATGCATTTGATAGCATTTTGATATTATTTGAAACTCTGCACTTCTTTTCAAACACAAATATATAGTAGCAGTAATGACAGACAAAGTTCAAACATACACTGATCCACAAACTTTGGAGTAAAATCAGCGTCTGAACACAGCTCAAGGGAATCTTCCAGAATGAGCAGAACTGCACGAGCTCAGGCTAGGCTTTGGAAATGGACCTAGCACAATTTTTAGTGTCTTGGAATCTCTGTCTTGACCTAAAATCTTGCAGGCATTCTGGAAATACCTGTTCACAGATGAATTGTATTTTAAGTGATGGCTGTATGAAGATAGAAAGGAACTTGCTAATCTGTTTGGTTGTTTGTTGCTGTTTTCTTGGTGGTTCTTTTTATTTTTAGAGAAGAAAAAAAAAGTCCCAATTTCTCAAAGTTAAAAGTCTTTTCAAGGGAACATGCACTGTAGTTCCTAGAGAGCAGCTTTATCATGTCATGGATGGAATTTCTGATAAAAACTGAGAAACTGTCCCACTGCAGAGCAGATACCACCTAATGCTAGGAGCCTGTGCTTGCACCCAAAGACTGAGTTTCACATCTCATCTAAGGCAGATCAGGGTGTTAATCTGTCTCCCATATCTCAAGCATATGCCCCAATTGTGAAACTATTATTGCTGAGGACAAGTAAACTTTCCCCACAACATCCTTTCAGGAGGTTAAAAAAAACAAAAATAAAAAAATAAAAAATAAAAATAAAAAAAAGATCTTATCTTAATGTTGTCCCTATTTAGAACAGAAACAATTTTTGAAACTGAAAAATTTCTTGTGGGTGGGGAAAACCATTTATCACCCCACTCTGTTTAGAGTTCAAACTGCAATATGTGCCCACAGCCAGTGAGAGAAAATCATAACTGCCAAATTTAGACAATGCAAAAGTATGAGTCCAATCCAGAGTTTCTTTAACAGTAAATACCAGATGTTGACAAGAAGAGATCCAACTTTGGATCCCACCTCCAACAATACTGCTGCAAATGCTTGCAGCAATACAAGAGACATACTATGCACAGAGAGATCTTCCTTCAGTGTAACTGCTCTACTTTCAGTAGTCACTATTTTAGAGGCTTCCTGTGATTGTGTCAGAGAGGAAGGTAAATACCCAGTTGGCTGTAGCTGGGCAGCTCCACAGCAGGGGAGTAACTGATTTTTTGGTTGTTGGGTTTGGTTTTTTTTTTTGTTGTTGTTGTTGTTTTTTGGGGGGTTTTTTTGCTTTCTTTTTTGGTTTGTTTTTAACTTATGATATTGAGTGATCTGTCCTTGTCCTCACAATTTCAACCCAATTCCTAAAAATGCTGTGATTATTGCTGGCATAAAATGGTGAAACATCCATCCACCCACTGTCAGTGAATAAACAATTTATAACCATGAAATAAAAATTTGTATAAGGAGTTTGCTGTATTCAGTACCTCCACATCTCCATCTTTGTAGACAGTGCCATCACAGAGAGAACTGGATCACCCTAAAGATCAGCCAGCATCCACACAATGAATAGCATGAAGGGCAATTGAGGTGAGTCAATATTGATTTACTGATATAACAAAACTACAGACATGTTTATGTTAAGAGTAACACAGACACTCTTAGACTACATACATTCATACAAAGGAACACTTTCAAATGACGCTTAGCAAATATATTTCAGATGAAAGCAACATTTGGTTTCAGGGATTCTGATCCAATAGCCAAAAAATAAAAGGATTCTTAGCAGAGAGGTGTACCAAGAATAAATTTGTTCCCTGCTAAAAAGCAGCCCATGTGGAAGACACTGACAACTCTAGAGTTGGTCCCAGTAACTGGGGAAAATACCCCATAGTTTTTGCAGACAAACACTTAACAGCAATTAAGAAAAGAATAGCTTCCAAACTGTTGTGATCCTGGAATAATTTTATCTTTAACCAGTACGAACACAGGCTATTTACTTCATCCTTTCTATTCAGCAGTTTTGTCTCTCAGTTCTTCTCTTCCTAGCTCCAAACTTTTACTTGAACTATATAAATAGCTGGTAGAAGAATTATTGACCATGTGGATTGGCTTTTAAATAGGAACATGACACTGCAAGTGAGTTATATAACTGCCTGCAAGACAGCAGCAAGCTGCTCGACATCAGATTCCTCAAACCTATTCCTGACTCCCAGGGAAAGAGTGTGGTCTGTTGTCTAATGATAATATAGTCACTGCAATGAATTTAGCACATTCATACTGCAGGCTCTGCTGTCAGCTGAATGGATCTTGGCTCTGCCTAGACTTTTCCCTTTTACTATGTACATAAAAAAAGAACTTACAGTAAGCAAAAGAAATTTTGTTCCACGGTAATATTTACATAATAGTGCAGCTTCTGAAATTTCCTCATAAAGGAGAATAAAGCAGAATGTCATTTCCCAGCCATTCATCCAATGCATCTCTTCTTAGAGCAACTCTCACACAGCAGGTCATTGTGGACATCAGATACACCAGCTTCTCACATAAGGGACAGCATTGCCAGATTTGTAAAATTAGAGCAGGTTTTTACTCCAAGTTTAAAATTTTATCACAGAAAAAAAAAAAAAAAAAAAAGTCTTTTGTTCTGATTTATAATAAATTATATTACTGTGATGTCTGTAACTCTCACACTATTAGGTTGAAAGATAACAAACTTTAAGATAAATAAATAAGAAAGATAAAAAACAGCTTAAAACCTGTTACCTGAATTGTGTTGGGCAATATAACCGAGTGCCCAAGCTGCACCTTCTTTCACTCCAGGGTCAAAATCTTCCAAGCAAATCACAAGTGCTTCCAGCGCTCCACACTCAACTACTGCCTGAGCTAGCTGTGGAGAATGTTTACCAACTGCTCTTAACACAAATGCAGCTGCTTTCTTGTAGAAACGCTATACAAATGAGAAAAAAAAAAAATGCTTTTTACTAACGTTTAGTAGTTTATGGCATAATAGAGCAGAGACATGCATAAATTAGACTTTTTAATAGCAACAGTATCTCATTCAGATCCAAATCAGGACCACCAGGCATCACACAGACAATGAACATACAGTCCTTCCTTGAGACAGCTCATGATCTAAAATCTGCAGCAAGTGCACAAACAAATGGAAAAAAAAAATAGAGCTAAGAGGATATAGGGAAAAGATAATAGTCTAGATAAGTCTGTTTGTTTAAGTGAGTTGTGAGTGATAAGGGCTACAAAAACAATAGTTCTTCACATATTTAATCAGATTACATAGGTTATGCAGAGCAAGCTCCTAAAACTAATTCTACCCATCTGCAACATCCACAAGACTTCACAGTTTCTGATGTGCATGCCCTCGTAACATCACTATGTGAAAACACTGTTTACAAACAGGAAACAGAGACACAGAGAATATGATGTAACAAAAGTCTTTAGGAACTGAATCCCGAAAAACCTAAATACTGCCTGATGCCCCAGCTAAGATCCTGAGAAAACCCAGACTGGCAGACACCCAGTGTGATACTCCTCAACTTTGACCAGGCAACTTGAAAATCTATTCCTGCATGTGTCCAGAAACAGCTCACTTCCTAGCAGACTGAGCTTGGCACCTCTGTCACAAGTTCAAGAAAATACAAGCACTTGTCTCTGGTTTTCTACTTTTCTGCCTCAGTGCTGGTGCACCCTTGTAACGTACGATGCTGCACAAATCATGGGGTTCTACATAAACTGCAGTGGTGGCTGTGGCTTCTTTTAAAAGCATATGTTATAAATAATTTTTCATAGTCTTCTGCAATTTCAAAGCTATCCTTAGTATGAGGAAGCTGAAGGTTACATTTCTTCCTTGCTCTACAGATCCAAAATTCAGAATCCAATTCAAGTACTCCTGCCACAACTGTGCTGGCAGAAAGACCACTCAACCCTCTTGTGAAGTCTCTTTGTAGCAACGAGGGCAAGGTTCAGCAGGACACAACCAACCTACTGCCACTACCCTGTGCTCTTGGCAGCTGGCCTATCAGCACTGTGGAGCAGCTTGGGAGGGCTCCCTCTCCATGCACCAGCTGGATGTTTCATTCTCCCCTGCTCTGTACAGGAAGCCTAGGCAGTTAGCTATGATGGATTCCTACTGTCAAGGTACCCAGAACTTATACAAAGAAAACCCCTCAACCCTTTGGGATCAAGTGCATAGAGATGTGAAGCCAAGTTAATGCTTTTGTGCCTCCTGCCAGGTGCCCAAACACCTTTGAAAAACTTCCCCGAGGCACTAAGGTGTGGCAGTAGAGGACTGTCTGCAACAGCTCCATCCGTAGGTGAAGTGGACTCCGAACAAGCAACAGTGCGCAATGTGCCTCAAAGCACATTGGCCTCATGTGAGCCAATGGAGATCTACTTCTGCCATCCCCTCAACCACATCCAGGCACTGCCAAGCACTTTGATTGCTAGCAATGGCCAAAACACCATTATTTCAGCATGTAAAGAGCAGTCATCCTCTAATGCTACAGTGCATGCCCTGTCTCTGCTTAGTTTAGATACAACTCCCTACTGCCAAAAACCCAGACTTCTAAGTTAAGGCCTACAAGTAGATACAATGATTGTAATTTACAAGAAAGACATCTTAGGAGAAGAGAAGTTAGGGGAAACAGTACAGACACAAGTGGACAAACCCCTAGCTAGTTTAAGTTACATTCAGTTTTGCTGAAATAAATGAAGCTAGAATAATTTGCACCAGTCTACATCTGTGCAAATACGGGTACGTTATTTCTGTTAAGTAATTACACTTCTGGCAAAGAAAAACACTTCTTTGTTTTTATTGTTATTCAAAACACATTTGTTTACAAACAAACTGTATCTGCAGGCACAGTTAGTACATACTGTAAAACTCTGTTTTGCTCAGTTTAATTGACAAAACACTGAGCCGGGATGTGACCCTGTAACTATTCTCCATAAACCAGCAGAATTAATATTTGTTGTGTGCTCCAAGAATCAGCTCCTTAAATATAGATGTTGATAGTTTATGAGTGAATGGAAATTCAAATGTTTTGGGGGTTTTTTTGTTAGCTTTGGTTTGGGTTTTTTTGGTTTTTGGTTTTTTGTGTTTTGTTGGGGCTTTTTTGCCTATGGGAAGTAACAAACTGCATGCATTGCTAAACTCTGCATGAACTGGATAATGAGTTTCCTTCACTTGCCCTCAGTCACTAAGACATAGTAGGATTTCCATGACCTCACACTAATCTTGCTGCTGCCCCAACTGATTCTGAATTACAGCCATCTCACAGATGTAGCAACAGCACTGGCAGTAACGTGGAAGAGATAAATCAGGGTAGTCGAGCTAATTTAGTGAGTGCTTTGAATTGTAGCAGGGGAGTGGCTTCCAAATTATTTAAAACAAACAAACAAAAAAAAAAGTGGTTTCCCTCCTTCTCTTAAAAACATAAATTAACTGAAATGGTCATAAATTTGTCTAAGACCTTTTTAGACTTTTTGTTGTTGTTTTGATTAACTGTGTAGGGAATGGCCAGACATGTAAGAAAAAAAAAAGCAAAGAATATTTGAATTTGTCTTCTTCAGAAGACTGATAATGAAAATACACTTTTCCAAACTATATTGCCATTGAAATCATACTATCCCAGAAATGTAATTAGCCAAAATTGCAACTCAAGTATGGCAATGGTATCAATGGACTTAACTGTCAGCTGTCTCCTCCATTTGCCAGTAAGTAGAAACTGTACTGAAAGTGTTTGTTTTTTACTTTATTTAGGCTAGGAACCAAAAATTAGAATATATGGAAAAGCTGAAGGAAAAATGGCAAGAGGGGAGAAAGTGACACTGTGAGATTTATTTGCAATGCAATTGCATAGTAATATTTTTTTTAATAAAAGATCAAAACCTTAAGGGTATTTTCCTGTATCAGAGGTTTGGTATTTCTTATGCTACAGATTTCCACATGGCTGTGTGGAGATATAAACTGAATATCCATCATGAAATATTTACTATGTATTTTACAAATGTTTGGTATTATTGACAAATCCCGATCAATTTTCACTACAACTTTCCAATTGTCTCATTTTTTAAGAGGAATTTTTTTGTAATACATCACTCAATATTTTAAAACCATAACAATGCCACGAGTGTATTTCTTATAATGCACTGGGGGGTAAGATGAGATTTTAAAGTCAAACTTGTTTAAGCTCAAAGTTATATACACACTGATCTCCCAGGAGTTCAAGCACGCACACTCTCTGACTTCCACACATTCCTTGCTATGCTAGGAATATCAGCAGATAGCCAATACAGAAAGATTTCCCTTTACCTGTGCAACAGTTTAAACAAAAATGATTGCTTAAGAAAACAATGATGCCTTACATTCTGCTCAGACAGTGAACACACGAGCTGTGGAAGAATGCCTTCCTTCACCACTGCCTCTGCCAGGTCATCGTTAAAATAGGCAAGCCTCCCAAGAGCCAAAGCAGCAGCCTGTCGGATAGTTGGGACCACATCCAGCAAAAGAGGTCTCAGCAAAGATATTACACCTGTGTTACACCAGGAAAAGAAAAGCCCACTTGGTAAACAGAAGTTTTTCAGATCATTTATTCTAAACTTTACATCAACTTTACTCATAAAAAAATCTATTAAATTATTCTTCCAGATAATGAGAGCTTGTAGAAAATGCAGGTGTTCCACTGAAATGAAGTTGGCACTTGGACAGAATTGCTGAAGCATAGCAGTTTTTCATAGGTAGAAAACAACTGTGAAAATTTTTTAAGAAATCACACAGAAATATGGTATATACAAACATATATAAAATACACGTGTTAACGCAGCACGTACAGGAAACCTCATCAGGAGGTTCTGGTGATTTCCCACTGCTGTGCCACTCCTCCAGCCTGCCAGAAGAACCTCTGCCTTGAATTATGCTAAATTACATTCCGTCTATTACAAGCTACCATTGATGGAAGGGCCAATAGCCATGACGTCTTACACTCCAGATACAAGAATTAAAGTTTGTTGGTGGTGACATCTTTCTTTTTTTTTTAATCACTTTGTAAATGTTAACGTGTTTTACTGCAATCCAGAGTTTGTCAGTTAAACATGAAAGAATCCTGAGGATGAAATCCTCATGTATCCTGAGGATATTGCAATATACACACATTGTTGAAATTATAGGTGAGGTAATCAACCATGACATGAACCATTAGCAGTTACAGCCCAAAAGAGTACTTATAAAGATAAATGTTTGGCTAAAAATGGGAAACAGCAGGTGTAAACTTTCCATTCTGGCCATAGGAGGGAGGAGGTCACAGTGCAGGTCTTCACGAGTCATGCATGGACACGTGCCTTGCAGCACTCACCTGTGATCTGGAAGGGGCAGGAGCCATGAGGTGAGACCATGTACTGGTAACCGAGGGTTATTCTAGGGAGTGCCAATGGGGAAAACTAAGAAACTAGGGACTGAATGATTGGATAATAAAACAGCAAGTGAAATCAAACACATACAGGAAAGCTGATCCCAATATCCCACAATGATGAACTTCAAGCACATCACTACCACTCAGGAGAAAGGTCCCACTGCTGGACAGGCAGCTCCATGGAGACACCAGCTCACTGCTCAGCCGTGGGAAAATAATTATGCACACAGAAATATATGGAGATATGGAAGTGAATAGATGCCAAATTGGAGACCATCACTATGTTGCTGTATAAATCTGTTCCGCATTTCATACCCTTCCCTAGAGTAGAACTGGGAAAGGCTCAGAAAAAGGCAACAAGGATGACCAAGGCTGACCACTCTGTACATAGGGGCTATTTCTACAGTTAAACTAAGACTTTTCAGTATGGATATAAAAAAAGATATATGCAGTTACAAAGTATATGATTTGTAAGGTCTGAAAAGAGAAAATTATTTGTACCGCAGTTCTTTGAAAGCAATGCCTCTCTAAGAGCCAGCCGTATGGATTAATACTGCTGAGCTTTGTAACTCAGCCAGAAAGCAATGCTCCATGGAGCTGCAAAAGTGCTACACCAGAACTCAAATGACTGAGAGCTGCAGTTAAAAAACTCCGTATCAGCTGCCTCAGTTCTTTGCTCTTTCCACTACATTTGTTTGCATCAGATAAAGATTTAGCTGGCTGACCACTGAAGAAAGCAGGACTTCTCAAGGGCTCATAAGCTTCTAAGTACCAAAGGCCTTCTGGTGCAACAGTCCCATTGCAGAGGGATCACTGTCTAATGGCAGGTAACACCTGGATGTTGAGGAGACACAATGAAACAAGGACAAGCTGAGGGCATTACAGCAAGGGTTAGGCCAAAGGGACAGAAATCACAGTAAATTATATCTATGATACACTTCTGTATAGAAAGGCACCCTGAAAAGAACAAAAGGAAGAAGTACTCAAGTAGCAGGGTGATTCTCACGGGTTAAAACTACATTACTTCCAGTGAGAAGAAAATATCTTAATAGTCAATAAGAGGCTCTAAAAAAGAAGGATGAAGAGTGAGAGTGAAAAGCTAACCACGGAGGCCATGCTGACACCACTGAGTTTGCTCTAGCAAGGTCAGCACCGCAAGCAAGCTATGTGCGGTGGTTTCAGCCTCCCAGGATATTCACAAGTCAAAGCATCACAGGTCTTGCAGCAACACACAATAAAAAGGAAAGTGAAATGAAATCATGTCTGAATAGCACTAGAGAAGTACCAAAAATGGCCACGGTCATAGCATGCATGAATTGAACATGCACGTAGAGACTATGGAAAGAGGACTGCGGTATAGCTGGGTCCTGCTCACACTCTTGTCAAAGCCATGGGGCTGAAAAAGGCCTCCTGTGCAACAGCAGACAGAAGCTGGTCCTCCAGCACTGTAGGGCCACTGTGAACTCATTGAGCACTTTGCAGGAACCTCTGTTTAAGAATCTGGCCATTGTACTGGTACCCTCTCACAGAACCTTCCAAATATGGCCTCAATAGGAAGTTACACTTCATATCAGGATGGGTTAAGGACTTTAAAGGACAAATTATAAGTGAAATCAAAACCAGAAAAACACGCAAGTTGGTGCCGATGCAATATATCATCTACAGAGAGCTAATCTTCTAGTAAGTCATCTGCATCCCCTACAGGAAAGCATCTCCTTGTCCTTCTCCCTAATGTAGGCACACCCAGCCCACAGCACAACTGGCAGCACAGCCCAGACCCATCTGCCCTCCCATTTCAGTTCACTGGCTAAACACAGTCCTGTGAACAAAAGAAAAATATGCAGCCATGCTTTCTGTTCTGATAGAGGGATTTGAGAATAGGTTTCAAGACTGCCAACAACAACAAAAAAAGTTTGTTTTAATATTTGCAACTGGGAATTTTCCAATGGAACGTATGGAGGTACAATCAGAGATTCAACTAAAAAATCTGATCATGTCTCTTTACTTTTGTAAGACCTCTCTTAACAGAGAAAAACCTTTCTCACTTCAAAATCATGCCTTTTTGATCAGAAATCTCTAACAAACAGCTTGAGACCTCACTAGGATTTACAGTCACTGCCATCAAACCAGGGAGTGAAGCGTTAGTTTCACAAAAGCAAGGTCACATATACCACTACTTCTTGGTTTTTTGCTTTCTTTGTTGTTGTTTCTCTAAAAATATATATATTAAAGATTAAAATAAGTTATGTTACTTACATACATGAACTATATTGCATATTTTAGGAAGGGTGCTCTGAAAGTATTGCCTCCTATTTTATGATGTTGGCCCACAACACCAGAGATGGATGGTGGTGGTATGGCAGCAATGTTGGAACTTTCCCACCAGTATTCCAATACACACTGCTGCTGTGTGACAGATGGCAGCAGAGGGGCAGTCTGACAGAATGGTGCATAGGAAGAAAAAGGGGTGGAACTGAATTCTTCCACGTGGAAAAAAATTGCATCCGCTGACATTCGTCAATGTTTGCTGAATGTTTATGCAGATCTAACAGTGGATGTGAGCACAGTGAGGTGGTGGGTGGTGCATTTTAGCAGCAGTGGCAGTGGGTTATCTCCACGGTACAGATTGTTAGGAGTACAGCATGCAGGCTCTCGTTCGTGGCTGGTGAAAATGCATATCTAATGGTGGTGACTATAATGAAAGACAGTGTTTTGTAGCTGAGAATTTGCTCTATTGAACTGTGTTATTGTGCTCTTGAAATCAGGTGTGGTTTCCACGGAAATAAATAGGAGGCATTACTTTTGGAGCAACCCCAAGACAATTCCTGTTCACTCAGTGCAGAACAGGCAAGCCAACAGGTTGGACACTCATTTCCTAATGAGTTGCACGATCAAATACCGCCTGAAATTCTTACAAAGACCTCATGCTGTTCCAGCTCTTCACACTGCTCCTGCTTTACTGAAATACTGCCAGGCAGAACAGTTATAAAGACATTACATTTGAACCCTTAAGGTAAAATATAAAAACTAGATTCACTTTCTTTTAAGTAGGTTTTACTGACAAAATAGAGGTTGTTAGAGTGGTTGGGAATAAAGGCAACATCATAACACGCAATGTTCTGTCCTTAGAAAAGCCAAGGTGGCACATTCGAGGCAGCCTTAAACTTCAGTGACAGAAGTGAGCAGAATCAGTTTATAGCAGAAGAACCCATGAGCTAGAGCCAGACCTCATAACGTGTTTTTAGCCTGCACAACATACCTAGTCACTGCAAAAGGTAAAACCACATGCTAGACAGCTTAAATGGCCATACACCTTGAGTTGACGTAAGAATGAGATTTACATGATTTGCATTTTCAAGACTAGCTGATACAGACTTCACTTTTCAGGATCAAGGCTTTTTAGCATGTTTTAAAATGCTGCCATGCAGCATGTCTCACCATGACCACAGCCAGACATTTCTCTGTAGAATAAAGCACATAAAGCTTGCCGATGACATCTGAGCATCAGCACAAACATCCTACTACAGATTATTTTAGGTGCTGCAACTGAAAGTGAGGATAGAGACAAAAAGTGGGATAGGAGTTACTGTTTGAAGAAAACACTAAAGAAGAGCTGATAGAAGAGTGAATGGATTAAAAGGATCTCGGAAGAAAAAGAAACTGTACTGGTTCTCAAGGAGAATGTATTTTCCCAGAGTGATGTCTGAATATGAGAAAAGGCAGTGACCAAATAATTATCATGACAAGAGCTTTAGTGTAACAAGAAAAAGAAAAATCAATTCTTATTGCTGTGCAAGCCTTACATTGATATCAAATTGAGAATTGAGGGATGTATATAAACCAAGATTATGACTGTGCATTGACTTTAATTAAAAGCTTTACCTCCAATTTCCACATTTTCTAAAACTAGTTTATCCTCCTGCATCAAGTTGCTATTCATCAGTTCTGAATCAGATACCACAACAAGACCAGCTGCTTGAGAAGTTTTTATTAGATTCATTATTTTCATTTGCTTCATTTTCCTATTTACATCTTCAGTAAACCGAATATTTCTCTCCGTAGCACTTAGAAGAACAGTTAACTTTGCAAATGTAAGAACTGCTGCTTAGTGACGGTCTCCTCTAAAACACCTACAGGGAAGCAGAGATGAGTGCTGAAGACAGCACTGGAAAGGACTGCTGTGCTCACCTGATAGAGCTGCCTGCCCCAGGGCCTGCGCAGCTGCTTCCACCTGAGGTACTGCTGCCTTTGCTGAGCTCCTCCGCTTCATCTCCTTCCTGAATATCCTGTCCAGAGCAAAGCCCACCCCTTCTGTTGAAACAAGTCCATACCAGGATTCCTATCAGCTTTCTGAGTTGAATTCAAATATCTGTAAGACTATTACAGCAGGAAAATTGGTGAGAGCCTTCCAGCAGCGTCTTCCTGCCTCTACCACTGACCCACACAAATAGGGCCAATAGAGCAGCACAGTAGCAGTAGCACAGCATTTCGGTGCCTGAAATTTTAGGAGAACTGTTTGGTCACCTTCTGAAGGAGCCTTTTGTGACAGAAGTAGGGAAATCATTAAGTCTAATTCAAAAGCAGCAGCAACACAGAGTTAACTAGAAAATAAGGTGTTTAGACTGTTAGACTGGATTTGTGTTGGAAGAGTTCCCACCAGCAACTCAGAAAGAAGGTAGCAGAGAATTACTGCCAAATATTCTCTCTTGCACCATATAACCTTGCCCGACCTTGGGTAAGGACTGATTCCCCTTTCCATCCTCGGTTTCCCACTCAGAATTGTTTCAAAGAATGTCACACTTAGGAGCTGAATTACCCTTAACGCGCTCCTCAAGTGGAGCTGTTGTGCCCAGGCCTGATGCACTTCCTTTCAGCAAGCAAGAGCTGGCTGCTGCCTATCTGGAAAGGAGGTAGGAAAAAAAGAAAAAAGCACACTTGGGGCAGCAGCAGATTCCAAGTTTTTTCGTTCCAAGTTTCCAGACAAACAGTTGCTACTCCAGAGATAGCAGACTTCATTAGGGTTGCTTTCTTGTTTTTGTTTGTTTGGTTTTGGGGTTTTGTTTTGGGCAATTTTTTTTTTTTTTTGGGGGGGGGAGGGGAGAGAAAGGTGGGGGGAGGATGATACATGAAAGTCAGTCAGAATCCTCATACTCTCTTTCCCTAAGCCCCTGAAAGCCCTCTTGAAACTTGAATAACTGCAGGTCAGAGAAAAGCAAAAAAGACTCCACGTAGTTGGATAAGGGAAATAAATCAGAACAGCTTTCTCTTACCAATAAGGATGCCCGTAACAACCCAAAGCTTTGGGAATGCAGCTTTTGAAACCCACAGTCAGTGGAATAGCTCTGGGGCTGGGAGAGAAAACCTCCTGCAGCACCACCCCTGAGCTGCAAAAGAACAAGGCCACGGAGGAAGAGGAACCCTGCCACAGCCCAAGGATTTGCCACAGTGCCCTCCTTTACACTGACATTTTGGAAGTTGGTTCCCACAGCCCTGAAGGCTGGTCAGTAAGTAGGCATGACTGAAGAACAGAAAACTGGAAGAGATCTGCCCGAGGCATTAAAAGTACAACCTTGGCAGAAATGAGAGGGAAAGCTGGGTGTGCAGGATGCCAGCACCCAACGTCCCAGGCTCCTTGGCCACATGGGTACAGGTTTCTTTTTCCACGCCTCAGATTTAGCCTTCTCTATGACACCCACTGCCCCAGAAAGGCAAAGAGCTGACCTCACGAGTATCTTTAAGGTCAAAAACTGAATTGCTGAATTAAAAATGTGTCTTAATTACAATAATATTCTTAAATAACTTTGAAAAGCAAAGCACTGAAAGCAAAGATCTCATCATCATAAGCTCTGATGCAAAAATAAATACTAAATTCAGATCATGGGAGAATACAAAAATGAATATACACAAATAATACAAGTCTTAATCTGATGCATTTATTAATGGTGAAATGTAAACGTTTCCATTAAAATGATATTAATGGAACACTTTACAGTATTGCACCTCCCAAGGCAGATGAAGAAAACAGAATTAGGCCCTCGGGGACCACCAGCCTTCAAAACATACTGGAACCAGTTCAGGTGTTCTCCTGATATTTCTAAAAGACCAAAAGCTGCCTGAATCTCAGCACAAGAAAGAAGGCTCAAGTTCATCTGCCACTACAGTTGAGAATGGTCAGCTTCTTGCAGAGGAGACGGAGCTCATCGTGGCATTCCGGTACCAAACGTGATGAGCTGCAGCTATCAGAGAAATAGGTTTATTCCTAAAGAATTTGTTTAAATCAGTTCCTGCCAGAGTAGCTTCTCCCAACATGATCCTGCCAGAAATGAGGTCTGAAAAGATAATTGCCTGTTACTGTTCCAAACTTACATTTACCAAACAGAAAATGTTTAGGAGGCTTGGAAAATATTTTTTTTTCCCATCAACTGATCAAACATTCAAAGGACAAATCTTACAGTTAATATTCATAGCAGTATTTAACCATAAGAAACAAACTGAACAAAATCAAAACAGTAAAAATTGAGAGTTGCTGAAGATGAACAGGAGCAAGTCCTCCAAAAGGAACTGCTCCGATGGTTCCTTGCACAGTGAGGTCAAGAACAGCACTAACATGTTTCTGTCTTGTGCACTGCTAGCTTGATACCCAGAGATACCTCCACAAAGAACAAAATGGTCTCAAACTTCTGTTTCTTTTTCATGAGATACTAAGTATTTATCAAAGGAATTGTTAAAAATTGAACCAGATGTTTATTCCTTGAGCACTGATATTTCACAGTTGCCAGCGTGAGTTTTGGCTGTTCCAGAAACGTAAGCCAACAATACAAATGTAGAATACAGTAAATTTTAAGGGCTCAATTTTGTTCCAGTTCAAGTCACTGTGAGCTGCTTTCTGCTTCTGCTGAGGGAAAGACCTCAGCACTGACAACTCCTGTGATCCAACAAGAGAATCCCTCCAAGTGCCCCAGGCTTCCACAGCCAATGGAAAATGACAGCAGGCAAAAACTTCCTGCATCCTCTTGAAACAGTGAGCTTCCCAAAGAATAATGAACTTCCTTTACCAGAATATTATATTGGCCCCCCAACTCGTTTATATATGGATTTCAACAGAGATACTTGTGCAAACAGACACCTCTCTTTATCAAGTTGCTGCGATGGAGAGATCTGCAGCACCTCGCTGCTTGTGTTGGGTCTTTCTGACAGCACACAACCACTTGTCACTTAGAGCAAGGTTTTGAAGCCTGTTTCTAGCATATTCAGAAAAGATCAGGATAACAGTTACCACTGTAATTGTAACTTCAATTTTAAGTTTTAAAAGCATAGGTTGGGGAGAGAGAGTAAAATGTTTGTGGGCCTCAGTCACTCAGATAAGTAATAATAGGAAAGACTGTTTTTGCAGACATTTCCCTCTCTTCTAGCAACTAAAAATCGATTCCAACCCTATGGGAAAGCAGCTAAGTAGTGGAGAATTGCTTTCCATTCTCCTTGGCTCACAAAAGCACATTTGCACACCGTGACCCCAGAGCGGATCCTCGTGCAGCCAGCTCTCAGACCAAGGCACGCACAGTCTGTGGCCTCTCAGTGATCGTTTCCTCCTCACAACAACAAGGCAGTGCTAAAGAAAGCTGCCCACCAGACTACAAGTGACTATTTTAAGTTCACGCAATACAATGGAAGTAAAATTAGCTTGGCACTTCAACTGCTTTCTTAAAATAGAAATTTTCTGCATTTTTTAAACACTGTAAGAACTGCATCCGAATGGGAGCTCCGCAAGCAGACAGAAATCAGAACTATAAACAGGCACGGTGAGGCTTCTCCTTGCGAATAAGTCCTAAACTGCCTCCACGGCTGAGCAGTCCCTTCGGTAGATGTGGGTAATTTGTGTAAATTTGTGTAAAGCAGTGGCACAGGAATACGAAAAAGATTTAAAAAGAAAAAAGAAAAACAGATGAAACAAATGAAAAAGCAAAGAAACGGAGCAGCGAGGCGGTGCGGCAGGCCCACGCAAATGGCTCCTTAACCGAGAGATCCTCAGCAAAACCATTTTCACGGAAACCTGGGTTCCCGGCAGCCAGAAGCTGGAAGTATTCGCGGCATCGGCTTCCTTCGTGCGTTTGTTCTGCCCGCCCCTCGGACGAGGCTGACAGCCGTCTGGGATGCGGGACACAAACCCTACAAACCGAGCCGGGACAAACCGAAGCGCCGCCGATCTCCCACCCCCGCTCGGTAAGCCAAGCGCAGCCCCTCCTGACCAGTCGGTCAGCTCACTCATCGCCGACCGTTTCTTTCGCCACTCTCGCTCAGGAAGCCGCGAGCGGCCCCGGCCGCTCACCGCACAGCCGTCCCTCGGGCTCGGGCGGCACGGCGCTCAGCGGAGCCTCCCGCACCGGGACTGCCGCACTGCATCGCCGTGCCGGCATCCCTGACACGGGGCCGCGGCCGAGCAGAAGAAGCGGATCGAGCTGAGAAAGTTTCCTTAGAGAAAAAGGCGCGGCGAGACCGCGGCCGGATGGCGGAGCCCGAAATAAAACGTTTAATACGGCCGCGGCCCCGGGAGAAGCACCCGGAGCCGCTCCGGGGACCCCGCGGCCGCCCCCATCGCCCCGTGCCGTACCTGCGTCCCGCAGCGTCCCGATGTTCTGCGGCCTCGCCGACAGCTCGGCCACCGCCTGCACGAAGTGCGTCCGGGCGCTCCGGTACTGTTCGAACACTGCGGGCGGCAGCGCGGGGGCGGCAGGTGAGCGGCTGAGCGCCCGCCCGACCCCGGCCCTGCCGCCCCGGCCCCGGCCTACCTTGCAAGACCCGCCGCTGGCTCATGGCGGAGACCGCGCGCCCGCGCCGTGTACCCGTCGCCGCGGCAACCGGGCGGGCGGAAGCGGCGCGGGAGGCGGGGCCTAACCGCGGAGTGTGACGTCATCGCCCCGCCCGCCCCGCCCCCGCCCCGTCCCGGCGCGGTGCGCGGAGCTGCTGGCGGAGCGCGGAGTCCTTCGGGGCCGGGCCGGGGTCAGCAGCCGCCCTCGCTGCTGAGGGTGCCGTCGCCCCGGGGGAGGGAAAAAGAAAGGAAAAGCGGGGCGGCCGCAGCACCCCGTGCTTCTCGCGGGGTCCTTTCAGTTCGCTGTCTTTCTTTTATTCCTTTTCTTTTCTTTCCCTCTTTCTCTCTGCCAGTTCTCGCCGCCGCGGCCGAGCTGCGGGTAGCGCCGCGTGGAGCGGCTCCCGCCGACACCGGCCCGAGCTCCCGAGGGCAGCCGCAGGGACACCGCGGGCCTCGTGCTGCTCCGCGGGGCTCGGAGTGGGCCGACCCCGAGGGGCCGCCCCGTGCGGTGGGCGGTGAGGAAAAGTTGTGGCGCGCGGCTCGAAGTCGGGAGGGAAAATTCATTGGAAAAGTTCGGAGAAGTGGAAGAAAGTCGCCGAAGTTTTAACCCCCCGATCCCCGGGTGCGCTCAGCGGATCCGCCGAGGGCTTCGCGCTGCCCGCCGCCCTTAACGCCAACGTCGCTCCCCGGGAGCAAACAAACGGAGCGGGCGCGGGGAGATGAGGCGGGTAGGATGGGATCGCCGGGGCCGTTTGTCACAAAAATATTTGGAGAAATTATCGCCATGTGGACTCGGGAAGGGAACAGCTGCTAAACACATTGCCGTGCGCTTATTTCTGTTCTTAAGTAACTCAAATTTAAAAATAAATAAATAAACAAACGGTGATGAATGGCTCGCGGGGTTATTTTCCAAAAGCAGCTGCGCCGATCGCCGATCGATTCATTTCTCTGTTTCGCCGTGAACCCGACGCTCGGAGCAGCGCAGCCCCGCACCGCGGGGGGCCGTTGCGTGGCCGCAGCAGCGCACGGAGCGGACGGCATCGCGGGGCCAAACGCCGCGCGAACGCGGCTGCGGAAACGTCGCCGGAGTTCTCGCAAAAGTACCGAGAACGGAAAATCACTGACGGCTGTGACGTCGCCGTGAGCGGGCGCGTCGGCTTCAGAAATAAGCAGGGACGGGAGAACGGCCACCAAATGTCCCGATCGGTATCGCGTCTGGCTTTCTGGCGGCCGGAGGGCGCCGGGACGCAGCTTTTTTCCTCGGCCAGGTGGACGGTAAAGGTATTCGTGGGGCTCTGGAGGGCCGGGGCGCCGGGCGGTGGCACGGCCGGGGGTGTTCCGCGGCCGTCGCCTCTCAGCTGACGTCCCTCGACAGCCCGTGCCCAGCGGTACCGCGATACGGCCGCTACTATTACGGCTCCGGCAGAAAGAAGGCGACGTGTCCAGCCGCACCGCACGGCGGCTGTGGAATGTGCCCGCGGGATGTCCCCACGAGGTGTTCCCATGGAGTGTCCCCGTCGGGCGGATGGTTCCACCTCTGAGCAAAAAAATAGGTTTGCAAAAAAGAGATTTTAACGCGTGCCGGTGGGAGGACGACGCGCACAGCCCGGGGTTTCCCCCCGCGGTTCGGGGTTCGAGTGCTTGGCTTGCTGAATGGGGGGTCACGAGTGGTCGGACTATTGGGGAATGAGACGCTCCATCGCTGAGCGAAGGGTGTGCAACCCGGGATAGGTCATGCACTGCAAGAGAAATATTTGAACCGTTGCAAGAAATGGTTTAATTTTCCAGCCTAAGGTCGGCTTTGTCATGACCAACCCGGCTCCAGGCGGGACTTCATCGGGGCTGTCCCGCAGCCCACTCCGCTACAGCTGTTCCGCACGGCTCCCAGTGGCTCTAGGTGTCCCGCGGTGCCACCCCGCGCTCCCGGCATCGGATTCCATTTGTGGGACTCTTCTATGGAACGAAGTAGTTCTGTGGGGCGAAGGCATCGAAGTCGGGGCACTGGGAAGAGGACTTCTCTTTTTTCCCACCGAAGAGGACATTACCATGTGTTGCCGCGGTTCCACCGTCGCACGGCTCCTGCCAGTGGGGAGCTGTGCGTCGCCACCACGGTGGGCAAAGGCAGAACAAAAACGATGAGAGAGAAACAGATGGGAAATGGGCAGAGTGTTTCGGGTTGTCTGCGGGATGGGGCCAGGAAATGCCAGCTGCTGGGGCTTAGCCCTTTTGCCACCTGCGGATGGTTGCACCTCTGGTTTCCCCTGGAACCGACGGCTTCTCTGCAGTACCATCAAAATAATAACAATAATAATGCAAAATAAATATTTTTAGACGGTCCAAAACCGAAAGCCGGAGCCGCGTTTGTTCGGGCAGTGGAAAGGAATGAGCTCTCCCTTCGTGTCCACCGCTGGGGCTACGGGTGCGCGCTGCCTGCATCTCCCTACGGGGTCCCACGATCGCTTCGCCCACCCTGGCTCCGGGCTGCGGCCGCGGGCAGCTCGCAAACGAACGGGGGAAACGCAAAATCCGCGCGACGCCCGGCGCCCGCCCCGTCTGCCAGCCCCACCGTTGTCCTCGCGGCTGGAAAGTGAGGACCCTCCGGCGACGTGCCGGTGTGCGCGAGAAGGTGGAACGAGAGGCACCGGCAGTAGAACGAGCTGCAAATCGCTGTCGTGTGGTTGCCACTAGCAACAAACCAGCTGCACAGCCTACGAGCCCCGAGCACCTAGCGCGGAGGTGGCGAGGGAAAGGCCTGCGCGGAGCCGTCGGGCTCTGCGGATGCCTCGGGAGGGGAAACGGGGTGCCCCGCTGCCGGGTGCGCGGTGCTGCGCGGGTCCTGCGCGGGTCCCGTTCGAATCCGGTGGAGCGCGGGGGAAGTTCCGCAGGCGCGAGGCGGGAGAGCTGCGCAGGCGCAAAATGGCCTCTGCCCGGGCGGAGGCCGCGCTCCGCTCCACTCCGCGGCGGCGGAGATGCGGCCGCCCCAGTACAGCCGGTTGTGGCCCCGCCGGCGCGGAGAGGAGCGGTGCGCGACCGCCTCCCGCCCCGTCTGCGCGGCCCCAAGGGCGGCCTCCTTTTCTTTGCGGCTCCGAGGCTGTGCCCGCTCCGTGCCGCCCCGCCGCTCCGGTTCGCCCTTCATTCTTCTTCTTGTTATTGTTGTTTATTATCTCCGCGGTTGTAAAACAAACGCGGCTCTGGAGAGATCGTGAAAAAGAAAGTTTGTAGTAAAATGAAGGAAATCCGTTTCAAGTACCCAGAGTAGAAGCGAGGACGTTAAAAATTAACAGCGGAAACAGGAAACACTTGGCTGGGTAAACATTGTCTCCGAATTTCACCCTCTGAACATTGGGAGGGCGCGAGGTGCCGCCGCCACACCGGGCTGAGAGCGGTACGGTTCGTGGATGGAATGTGCGGGAGTTCCGCGGGCCTCGCCGGCGGCCAAAGGAGACGGGTAGTGCTCCGAGCCCGCGGGACAGAGCGAGGCAGGGGCGAAGGACTCGCGGGGTGAGGGCTGAGGGGTAGGTCCGCGAGCCTATCCTGTCGCGCCTTGACCTGGAGCATCCGCAGCGAAACGAGCGGGACAGGACCTGGCTGCCCGGGGCGAGCGGCTCGTCCTCGACGGCAGCGGGGAAAAAGGAAAAACAACGGCATTCCGTCTGTCGTCCCCGCCTGAGCGTTTCAGAGCCTTCTCCATCACCAGAAAACCGGGAAGGGCCTCTCGGAGAGAGCGGGGCCCCCCGCATCTTCCCGCTCTCGCCACAGACACGGCTCCGAGCCGAGAGAGACGCGGCGTTCCGACCGCAGTGCGCGCCCCGGGGGGAACTAGGCTCCTCACAGCCTTCCTCTGCCTTTCCGGCAGCCTCCTGCCCGCTGCCCCGGATCTCCTCCTGCCAATGCCCCGTTCCGAGCCCGCCATCCCCAGAGCCCGGTAGGGAGACGCGAGCAGTCAGAATGGGCGGAAAGCCGAATAGTCAGCACCACACCCGCCCCTGCTTTTATTCGGCCGGGTTGCTGAACGCGCTCCTACAATCTCGCGAACTTCGGCTTTTCTTCCCCGATCCCAACAAATGAAACGTCGGGGGATGAGCAGCCTCCTGTCACGATCAGTTGGTTGGGAGCTCTTTCCCAGCAGCGGGAACCCGCAAGCGCTGCCGCAGACCCCCGCCCTCTGTCTTCTCGCAGAAGAACGCCGCGCAGCGCCCGGCTGAGTTTCTTGCCCCGCTCCCGGACCGAGCCCCGCGCGGGAGCCCGAGCGGCGGCGGCTGCGGGAGTGCGGCGGGAGGGGCTGCGGCGGCCGCTCCACTTCTGGCGGAGGAGCGAAGAGAAGGCGGAGAGCTGAACGGCCCTCGGAGGGAGGCATCTATCCCGTGTCACCGCCTCGCTCTGCACGGACACTTCACGACGAGAAGTTTGATTTAAACTCGGACAGCGGTGATTTTCAGCTCCTCCCGGTACAAACAGAGCACCGTTCTGCGACCGTGCGTAACGCGCAGCGCTTTGCTTTAGGCTCGGGGCTGGGTTTGACTCGTACCGCTTCCGACAGGACGAAGCGTGTAGCCGACAGCCGAGGGAACCGCGCCGAGACACGGCCGCGCGGAGCACCTTACACACAACAGCGGCTCCGCAGCTTCTCTCCGCGCTCCTCCAGCCCGGCCCTGCCCCGCTCTCCGCCCTCGCAGCCGTGCCGCTCGACGCGCAGCTCCCGGCGGGGCCCGGCACACCGCCTGGCGCACCGCGGCCGTGCGCTGCGAGCGCCGCAGCCGGCGCGGCACTGCCGGAGCCTTGCGGGGCTGCCACGGCACTGAGCCTTGCAGGGCTGCCTGGCACTGCCGCGCCGCTCCACTCATTGCCCAGCTTTCGTCCGACCCGACAGACTGCAACGAGAGCAGTATGTCTTTCCTTCAACGCCGCGTTACCGACAAAGTTCATCTGCTCTTTTTTCAATGAATTATCCCTTTTATTTGTTTATTTCTTTGATCAACTATAAATGAAAGTTATTCGTGTATATAAAACTGAAGTTTTTTACCGTTGAAATCGAACTGTACATGTTTACTACAGGAAAAAATATCAACTCTTGTTTAACAAGACATTATACATCAATAAGCAAGAACCTTGTGGAGGGTTTGCAATCACCTGGTCTATAAAAACAAGCGGGACAAATAACAGCAATTTATATGCAAAAGTAATGATTTAATGACTATAAGCAAGACAAAGCAATAGAATTGTGCTTCTTTTGCAGACTGGAGACAATGAAATGTTTAACTACAATTTTCCCGTACAAACATGAAACAATATCCATATAGAATAAACACCCTCACAAATGTATAACTGGTGGGTGATGAACACACACGAAGTTCGACCAAAGCAAAGAACAAACTGAAAAGTGTTCCGGGCCATTCTGTTTGGTGTCAGAAAAGTTCCTTCTGCTGAACAAACCAAACCCTCAGGAGCCCCCAGGAAACGCCCCCACTGGCGGCCCTCCCCGAGGAGGCATTCTCCGCAATTTATCGAAGGAGTCAAGTACCTGTTAAGCTCTAATGAAGTTAGTACTGTACCATATCCGTATATATTAAAAGAAATTTAGATAAAATGCCTTCACCCAGCGAACTGCTGGCTCCTTAAAATTTATACCAAATAGTTTATGGCTTCTATAATGATTCCGTGTGCTTTTAAAAACACAGTCCCCACCACACCAAGTAATAAAAAGGCAATCAAGCACGTCAATTACTTTCATCTCCCTTAACTTTTTTGTTGGTTTTTTTTTTTGCTTTTTTTTTTTTTTTGGTTTTTTTTTGCTTTTTTTTTTTCCTTCACTTCATCACTTCAACAACATTTGGTAAAGTAAAATAGACCACTTGGGGGAACAACAACAACAAAAAAAAAGACAAAGGCAGTCAAATGCTTTCGGGATTGGCAATCGCCTCCAGGTTATCAGAGTGGCTGTGCTTCCTCAGCGCTGCAGCTCTATGGCAGTGCGAGCAGAGCTCAACCAGGCGGCATCTGCAAGGGTCGAACCGGTTCTGAAACTTAACAACCATATCATGAGTGCATGAAACACAATATTTTCTTTATAGTATTTATAAATATATCATACAATACTGTTTCCTGTTATGTCATATACCAATATGGCATTGTACAATAAGCATAATGCCATCTGATTCTTACAAAAGCGAATCATTTAAACAAGTCAGTAAATAAAACGGTAATACCCGCTTTTAGGCATACAGATTGTAAAACTGAAGTTTACTTTTCGTTTGATCGGTTCTGTGCAGCAACAGAGAATTAAGGATGCAACATAAGAATCAAAATGGCTAATACGCAAAAATTGTTATTCACAGTGACATGGCTACATATATGCATTATTCTATGCATATCCTTTCTGTTTCGTCGAATTTCAAGATGAAAAAGCACTTGCTTTCTACAGGTTCACAAAACGGCATAATAACAATAACAATCGAAGAGAACGCGGTGGAGGAGTTAGTCTGGGTTAACCAGCTATATCCCAGGGCTTCTACCAGCTCGGTCGGGCTGAGGGCCCCGCAGCACTCAGCACACCCAGGTGTCACTTCTGTTTGCTTCCCGGTCCTTTGGAAACCATTTACATTTCAATCTCGCGTCGCAATTAACGTCCACAGCAAATGTCACCTAGTTCGCCTTTTATAGCCAAGTTCAGTGTCACTACAAAAGAAAGCAGTTTGGACGAGAGTCACGTGTATTAGCATCTATAAAGCTGTAATGGCATGAGAGATCTATAGAGAGGAGGGTCGGGGCCGGGTTGTCAGCCGGACGAAGTGGCCGAGGAGCCGTTTATGGAGGATTTCCGTGCTCTGTTGGTGAAGGAGGACTGGTGATTGCTGCCGGGGCTGCTGCTGGTGCCGTTCATGGTGCTGGAAATGTGTGGGAACTGCGGGTGGGGGGACTGGACCGGCGTGCTGGGGCTGGGCAGGCAGGAGGAGGTGGAGGGCAGCCCCCCGGCCGGGCTGCTGGCCTTGTCGCTGCCGGAGTCACTCTCCAGCTCGCCGCTGTTGCTGAGGCCTTCTCGCTGGTGGCCGATTTTCATCCGCTTGCAGGTGGGCCTCACGCGGTACTTGAGGGGCAGCGGGCCATTCTGCAAGGCAAGAGACCCGTCAGAACCCCGGGAACCACCCCGCCAGGCCGCTGCGTGCCACCAAGACATTACCCGTCTCCAGGTGTAGATGTAGGCAATGTCCATCAGCGTGTAGTAGTCCTTCAGGGGCTCCTCCTCGTACATCACGTCGATCTGCCGGGAGGTGCAGCCCGGTGTCAGCGTGCAGCTCTGTGCTGAAGGCAGCCTCAGAGCGCTCCAAAGCACCGGGCCCAGCACAAAGGGAACTGGGAATTTTCACATATACTAAAAAGATCAATTAATCCCCTCACACCTCGGTATCTGCAGCATGGCCAAACCCTCCATGAGGTATTTTAAATAACACCCTCACTCCCACAAGCATGCTGCCAACTCCACACATACACGGCCAGAAACCCAAAGCATGTAGGATGCCAGCAGCATTAGCAGGGATGGAGCAGCAAGGTACCTGGAAAGTGTTGGGGATGTCCATCTTGCTCCGCAGGAACTTTCGTAGATGCATCACTGTCATTGCTGCCGGGCAGCGCAAGTATCTCTTGTCATTCACCTATCGGCACAACAAAGGGCACGGGTCACCAAAGCTGCACTCTTACCATCATAGGTGACATTTTAAAAATGCACATTGTTCAATTAAGAACTGCAATACAGCAATTTCTGCTCTTCTAAGGGACAACGGAACGACATGGTAAATCACAGCTCCAGAAAAAAATAATTAAAAAGCCACTGATTTTACAAAAGAAGACTTACATCTCACACTACATCTCTTTCAACAATGCATATGCATTACAGGCTGACTAAAATAAATAAATAAATGATTTATTTATTACAAAATCACACACACAGAAAAAATCAGATTCAACTTTAAGAGTGACACTGCCAGCATTTGCTACTTGCTGTTTCTAGGAGCTGGCAGCACGTGGAGCTGCAGGAAACCCACAGTGCTGGGAGGTGCGCTCCTTTTGTCCTCATCACAAACCAGCTATTTTTCCCAGCTACAAACCCACGAGGAACTGCTCGTGGCTGTGCCACATTTCTCTGGGGTAAAGGAAAGTTATTTACCTCCTCCTTTGATTTTTCTTTCTCTTTATTTCCTTTTCGTTCCAGTCTGCGAGGAGAAATGAAACAATTACAACAAATAACAAAGAGCTGCTATCGGTCAGGTGAGCATAAAATACTGCCACTCAGGAACTTGCCTGTTCTGGTCAAAGAACTCAATGGATAAGCTTATTATCTCGTCGTCTGTTATAATTCTTTTGTCTTCGTCAGCCACTTCTCCCCTGTCTTCATTAGAGCCATTGGCAGCTGCGCAGAAATTTCCACAATAATTTACATTTTGAAATTCAAATCAGGAAGAAGGGCAATTCTCGGTGAGGAGGAAAAGAAAAAAATCCCCACGGTGAGATTACGATTAAATCTATGGAACCGCCAAAGCAGCAAACTTTTATCATGCTGAATTTACTTCTTAAAATTCCACCCCGACAACACAGCGCTTGAGAGTTAAAAAGGAAAGAGTAGAGCACCGGGGGCAACGCGCCATCGATTAGGGTCGGGAGTGAGAAGCTTTTACCATCAGCCGACGGATGAGCAGCATAGAAATCCCTTCTTCTTTTCATTTCATCTGGGGAAAAACACACGTGGGGCATCAGAACCTCCTTGCAGCTCCCAGCAGGGACGCGGGAGAGCAGTTCTGGGTTCGGGGTATTTCTTCTGCTTTTTGGTACTTACTTTTGAAAAGGCCCGGCACAAGCTTGTACACAATATCCTGGAGAGTTTTATCTGACCTGGAAAGAAGCATTGAGCACAGTGCTGAGCGCACGAAGCAGCGTTTCGATGCAAGCAGCAGCTCCTGCCATGTAACCTCTGCCAACAGCAGGCGGGACTCCCGGCCTCGCGGGAGGCCGCCCATAAAACGCAGCTTACAGGAGCTTAAAATCAAACTAACGCAGCTCTGAGCACCGCTGTAAAACTAAAGCCGGGTCTACCGCGGCAGTGCCGCCGAAAAATCATTCTGCCTAAACCTACAATTCCTCCACAGAAAACGAGGAGCGGCAGAAAGGAACGGCGCGGAGAAAATGCTTCTGGCAGCAGAAGCATGCCGAAAGGGTTCGGCTTTCGGCTGCCGGAGTTCCGGTAAGTTCGGGGGGCCGAGGTTTGGCCGTGGGAAACGGCAAGCGGCGACGGGAGCTGCGGGCGCTGTGAGGCGCGGGGACGGCACCGTGCCCGCCGCAGCCTCCCTCCGCAAAGCCCGACGCGACTCCGCTCGCACCCGGCGGAACCTTCGGCTTCCATCAATGACAAAAGTCCAAAGAGAGCGCCTGGCCGCGAGGCAGCCCGTAAATTCACGGCTCCTTTCAGATTGAAATCGCGACGCGGAGATAAGATCGCCCAACGGCGCGGCCCCGCGCGGCGCGCCCGCCCCTACCTGATGTTGAGCAGCGGCCGGGTTTTGTGCACTTGGACGTCGCAGATCGGGCAGTACTTGCTCGTCTCCAAGTACCGCACGATGCACGTCTTGCAGACTGCAAGGCAAACACGGGAGCCTTTAGCGACGGTCGGAGGTGACACCGAGCATGCATAGACAGAGAGAGGTGCGATCTCCTAAACTATGCGGCCGGGAATCGGCCATTGTCAGCAGCGCGCCGCTTAAGCTAAACAAATACTCAAATCGGCCGCGATTAACATGAAAAGGCGACGCTTAGAGCACATATATTGCGCCTTTAACAAAGACCGTAGGGCCGTCGCCAGGACGAGCCGCGGTGCCGCGGTACTCACAGGAGTGCAGGCACTCGATGATGGTCGTCGCGTCGATGAAGTACCCGCCGCACAGCACGCACATGAGGTGCGGGTTCAGCTCGGTGATTTTGATCCTGGTCGTCCGGTGCATTTTGGCGCGGGGCGAGGCGGCTCTGCAACACACACGGCCGGTGCGAGCCGCTCAGCGGGGCCGCTTCCCAGGTGCGGGGCCCGGCGGAGGGCGGCGGCGGCCGAGCCGGGCCGTGCGGGGCGCAGCGCGGGGGGCGCGGAGCCGGCCGGGCGCAGCGCGTGGAGGCGCGGACGCTCTCCGCCGGGCGCCGGGCTCGGAGCCGGGGCTGCCGGCGCGGCGCGGCGCGGCGCGGAGCTCAGCGGGGCCGGCCGGGCACCGGGCTGCCGGCGAGCAGCACAAAGGGGAACCAGCGCCTCCCGGTGCGGCTGCCCTGGCATTTCCGGAGAGCGGGGAGGGGAGGCGGGGGGAGGGTGGGGGGGGGGGACACGCACCTCGCGGCGGGGCCGGGCACCGGGCGGCGGGGCCGGGCCGCGAGGGGGTCCGGGCGGCCGCGGCTGCCGCTCGGTGCCGATCCGGATCCGCTCCGCTCTCCGAGGGGGTTGCTATAGCAACTTACACTTACACTTGGCATCCTGCCACCGCTGGGAACACGCGAGAGCCGGGCGGGGGGGCGGCCGGGGGGGTGGGCCGGGCCGAGCCGAGCCGGGCCGGGGGGTGGGACGCGGGGCCCGGGGGCTGGCGGAGGGGGTGGAGGAGAAGAGCGGCCCGCGGGGGTCTGGGAGCCCAGCGGCGAGGGGAGGGGATGGGCAGGAGGGGAGGGGAAGGGAAGGGCGGGCAGGGGGAGGGCGGCGGGAGCCGCCGGGGAGGGGGGGTGGAGGGGGTTCGGCCTCGAGGGGCGCGGGGCGCGGTGCGGGGCCGAGCCGGGCCGAGGCGAGCGCGGGAGGCTCCTCCCGAGCCTCGGCCATTTCGGATCCTCGCGGGGGCCTCTCTCTCTCCACGTCGACTCGGGGCGAGGAGCTGCGCTGAGCCGCCGCTCGCCCCCGCCGCTCCCCGCCCGTTCCCGCGCCGGGCACCGCGCCCGCGGCCCCTCCGCTCCCTGCCTGCCTCCGCCGCTCCTCTCCTCTCCCCGCCGCAGCGTTCTGTCTTTCTCTCCCCCCTCTTTTGAGGCTCATCTGAACGCCTCCCGTGGCCGAAGCGGAGCGGGGCGAAGTTCCGCGGGAGCGGGTCAGAGGCTCGAAGCGCCGGGCGAAGGGATGAGGCAGAACACACGTCCCGGTTCTTATAACCCTTCTTTTGGGTCACGAAGAGGCGCACCGAGGGGGGGGGGAGGGAAGAATGCAAAGCCCAAACCGACCTTAAACTGTACCTCCGTAACAACACACGAAGGACCATGTGACCAAACCATTCCTAAAGCTAAATCAACACCTTGTCAACACGACGCGGCGACGGGAGCGAAAAACAAATGTCATCTTCGCAGCCTGAAACCCATAAACCCTATCGGGTGCAGCGGCACCGACGTTCCATGCACACTCACTATTGAAAACGAGAGGGAACGCGAACCGAAGGGGAAAACGCTCCGCGGGAACACGCCCCACCAGCCCCGGCAGCGGTACGGCAGATAGCCTTCTGCCCGCCCGAGCCCGAGCAATGCCGCCCGCCACCGGGTCCCTCCCGCCCTCGGCGCCGCCCCCCACTCGCAGTCCGCGCCCGACGCCGCTCCCCGGGCCCCGCGCGGAGCCACCGCCCCTCGGGGCGCTGCTCCCAGCACCGTGCAGCGCGAGGAGGGCACGCGCGGCGTTCCCGGGGGCTCCGCGGTTCGGCCACGCTGCCCCGGACCGGGCACGGCGCAGCCCGAGAGCAGCGCACAGCGCCAACGAGCGACCTCGGCACGGAAACTTCTGCTGATGATGCTGCTGCTGCTCCAGGAGGAGCTCCAAACGAGCTCCCCAATACCAAACCGGAGCGAACAGGCACAGAGAAAAGCGAAGCGTCCAAAGCACCCCGGCTTAGACCTGCCCCTACATCGGGCAGCAAAACGGGAGCCCGCCCCGCTGCGTTCCACGTGAATGGCTCTTCCAGGGTCCCTGACCCTCCGCTCCGCACTCCCAAAGAGGCACCCAGAGCTGCTGTGCAGGAGACACAACAGCGCCCTGCCGCGCTGTCCGCCCGGTTCTGGCTCTGCCCGCTCAGTGCTCACCGCTCCCAACAGCCCAGAATAACCTCAGCAGGAAGCTGAGCAAGGATTTCTCCCCATCCCTGGCGCTCTGGGACCAACTTTTCAATACATCGACGCGTTTATTTCACTCCTTCATAAATGGAGGATTGAATTAACCCTGACATGCGTTTTGTCGACCCCCCCCTCAACGCGAGGGATTCACCACCCGCAGACCGTCTGTGTCAGCACTGTGTCACCCTGCGATCCCTGCCCGACAGGACAACCACTGGCATCGGTCCCTGCCCCGCGCACTGGCCCCACGCACACGCGCGCACACAGCCTCAGCCTCAGCCCTGGATTTGGGCAGCAGCGAAACACCTTTGGATTTTTCCAAAGCACTGGTAGTGCTTGACGAGGTCACCCGGCAACTCCGGGCTGGGACAACACGTGAGTGTTTAACCCGACACATAGAGCGGCCCGACCCAAACACAGGGAGATAACACCCGCCGGCAGCACACACTGCCCGCAACCGATTATTGAGAGGCCTTATACGGGTGATGTCAAAATGAAGAAAACCAGAAGGGTACTCCCCTGCTCAGGATCAGCGGCATTATCACAAATCCATAAAAGCAACCGACTCCCGAACTCTGCCCGATGTTCCCCGATGGAGCCCACGGACAGCCCCTGGTCGGGCCGCCCCGCTCTACCCCCGCGGTGCTTCAGGGAGCGACGGGACGGGGCTTCCCGAGGGGGCTCCGAGTCCTCGCCCTGCAGCCAGGGAACAGCCGGGACAGAGAGGAAAAGAACCCGTCCTTTAAGCAGCCGCCGTGGCCCCGCGTTAACTCCGCAGCGTGTCCCCCGGAACCGGCCCGAGGTGCACGCTGTACGTCGGGGACGGCCGGGGCAGCGCTCGGCACGGCACGAGGCTGCAGCCCCCATCCCGGGGACGGCCCCCCGGGGCTGCTCGGAACGCTTGGGGCTCGCAGCGGTGCTCCCAGCATTTCCCGACCGGGAACGGGCACACAGCCGGCCGGGTCCCCGAGCCTCGTGGGGAGCGGAGCAGCAAGCAAAGTTTCTAAAAGCTGAAAAGCGTCTCTCCGACTTCCACAGAACCGCGCTTTTTTTTTTCCCCTTTATTTTTACCTGATTTTTCGCAAATATGGACAACGCCCCACGGCCCCTGCCCGCATGTATTTTTCGCCAGGCCACGCACCCGCACACACCTCCACAGCCGTCCGTCCGCGGCCGTCGGGGGCCCCACGCGCGGCGCTGCACACGGCGGGGCTGCACGCGTGGTCCCCTCCGGGGCCCGAGAGAAGGAACCCTCGATCGAGCGCGGTCCCGTCCGCCCCTCCGTCCCTCTGCTCCGGGGCTCCGCACCCCGCACACCGCTCCGAAGCCCACACTTAAAACCACAATCTCAACCCAAAACTACGAAAAAAAAAAGAAAAAAAGAGAAAAAAAAGTTCGGTCCCGGCGCTGCCCCCCCCGCCGCCCCTCGCAGCGGGGTTACCCCAAACTTCGCCGTTTTCTGCACGGCCGGGAGAGAGGCGCCGGGAGCAGCCGGGGACCGCCATCTTACCGCCGCCCGCTCTGCCCCGCCGCTCGCCCAACTTAAGTTAATAACACTCGGTGCGGGGCGGCCCGCAGCCTAACAGCCCCCGCGCGGGGACCGCCGCCCCCCAACGGCCCCGTCCCTATAAAACGACCGCGCTCGGGGGCCCCTTCGCCCCCCCCGGCCGCGTTGATCGCCGAGAGCCCCGCGCTCGCTAGACCCGGGCGGCTCCGCGCTTCGCGATCGTCCCCGTTCCGTCAAAATCTGCCTTTAAACAAAGGGCGCCGGGGCCGGGCCGGCAGCGGGGGCCGCAAATACAAATATTCTCCTCGGGGGCCGTGCGCGCCCGAAGCCGCTCGGGGGCTCGGGGGGGAAGAAAGGAACTAAAATCGGGCGCCGTGGGCGCGTAACGAAAGCGGCCGCCCGGGCCGCCGCCGCCGCCGCCGTGTGTGTGTGTGCGCGCGTGCGGCGGGCGCGGGGCTGTCAGCGCCGCTCCGTACCGCGCCGAGCGGGGACGCCCCGCGCCCGCCGCCCCCCGGCGCCCCCCGCCCGCCCGGGGCCACCCCGCCGCATACGTACCCGGAAAAGGGAGCCGGCGGGCGACGATCGGGGCGGCCGAAAAAGACAATGAAAGTTAAAAGTCGTTCAGCAGAAAATGAATGTGAGCCAAGCGGCCATCTTGAAATGAACTGCAGACGCTGTCAATCGCGAGGAGCGCACCAACGCCGCCGCCGCGGCGCTCCGCTCATGCCGCCCGCGGGACCGCCGTGTCCGCGCCGCTCCGCCGACCCTCGGCGTTCCCTCGGCGCCGCGCGGGGCCGCGCCGGGCTCAGCCGGCCGGGGGCCGCCCGCTCCGGCCCATTGTCTCGCCCGCTCCCCCCCGCTCCGCCGCCCGCTCGCCGTTTTTTTTTTTTTTTATTATGATTATTTCATAGTTGGTGGCGGGGGGACGAGGGAGGGAGGGCGGAGGAGGGAAAAACGCGAGGCTGAAGGCACACACTGGAAACTGACACCGTCCCCAAAATGGCTCGGAGTTCGCCCGCCCCGCCAGCGTCACGTGGGGCTCCTCATTCCTTAAGGGTGGCCTGGGAATTAGCGGCGGTGCGGCCGGGGCCGGCCGCCTCCCCGTGACCCAATCCCGCACCCGGCCGCCTCCCCCCCGCCCCCTGCCCCCCTTCTCCTCCCCCGCTTCCCCCCGCCCCCCCCGCCCCCCCCGCCACCCCCTCCCCTCCCCCCGGCCCTGCACGCGCCCGCCCGCGCGCCGCCGATGCCTCCTTTTCGCCGCCGCCTCCCCGCCCCGGCCCGACCCCCGCCCGGCCCCGGCCCCGCTCCCCGCCCGCTCCCACCGCCCCCTCTGCCTCCTCCCTCCGCCCCCTCCTCTCGTCCCCCCCCCCCCCCCCCCCGCGGCCACGCGCGTCCACCCCCCCCCTTCGAGGCCCCCCACGCCGCACTTGTTGCGTGGCCCTCCCGCGCCCACGCGTGGGGCAGCGCCGCGCGGGGCCCCTCGGGGGCGGGGGGAAGCGGCAGAGCCCCGCAGCGCGGAGCGGGGCTGCGCCGGGGCCGAGCCGCTGCCCTTCGTCGGGGCCCCTCCGCGCCTCCCCGGGGGGGCGGACCGACCCGACCCGTCCCGCGGCGCCCGCGCTCCCCCCGGCGGCAGGTGCGGGTGGGGGGCATCGCCAGGCGCGAGGTAGGGGGAAAGCTGCAGTCGGGCTCCGGGATCGGCCCAAGAGGAACACGGAGCGGCCGTCGGCGTGTGGTGCCCCGGGAGGAGGCAGGTCTCAACCGCGGCCCGTGCCGACACGGCGCCCTCGGGTGTGGGGAGCTGCGTCCAGTCGGTACGAGAAGGGAAAATCGTCTTTAATTGAAAATGCACAGCATAAAAGAGGAGGGATGCTCTGCAGACACAACGGTTGAGGCAGTATTTAACTGAAGCGTTAATTTTCAAGAAAATGTAACAGGAGTGAGGAATACCAACTGCATATTCCATGCCAACAGCTTGCTTAATTCACATCTAGAAATCACTACAAAATGGTTTGGATCAAGAGATGTACATTGAGATGTGCACAGAAGGGTCTTTGCCATTGGGAATGTTCTCACGCAGTGCCCGGCTGCCCTCGGTCACAGCTGTGTTGCTCTCTCCAGACTCTTCGCAGCGTCCTTCAGCTTCCCGACCAAATCCTGGGAGAGGGAACACCTCAGAATGAATTTCGGAAAGGTCAGCACCTGGTGTCACAGTGCCCTCTGTGCATAGCAGCATGGGATATCCTGGAGTTCACCCTCGTCCATTGGACAACACAAGCAAATCGTTCCGTTTCTTACACTTTTTCTGCTGTAAAATAGGGTGGTACACTGGAACTGAAGGACAATGCCTTGTGATATATATGACCTACTAACATACATTGCTGTCCTTAGCACATCAGTATAGCTGCAATGGCTGCTGCACATCGCTGCTCTGAGCACCGTAAGCACTTCTTCCACCCTGAAAATACCCTGAGTACCATTCTGCACAGGGACTACACCATGTGCCAGTCCTGCCTGGGGCAGCCATCAACCCAAACATGGGCACTGGCAAAGATGCCTCCCAGTGCCTCCAGTTCCCTCCCTTTTGCACAGGCACATAACTACAGCACAGAGCAGAGCTCAATGTTTGCTTCATCACACTGCCGGTGTGTCACCTACACACCGACACTGGCTTCAGTTCATTCCCTACTTGGGAGCATGACATGTCATTCAGCTGCTTGCTTCAGCAGCTTCTCTGAACCACTGGGACAAGGGTTTTGGGGAAGTGATGCATTCCCTCCCAAACATATGTGTGACAGCATACCCACCATCTATGCGTGTACAGAAAGCAGCACATGCCACTGAAATCAGTCACTTTACAACTTCAATTAAGACCATGACTAGAAGTGTAGCACAGCAAATCCTCCCCTCCTGCCTGTTGTTTTTGGTTTGATTGGTTGGTGGCTTTTTTGGTTTGGTTGTTTTTTTTTTTTGTTGTTGTTGTTTTTTTTTAATAATTATTTGTGCCATCTAATTGTGACTGAAAAAGTGCTAGAGACATTGCCATCCAGAGCGGGAGCCAGGCAGAAAAACAGGGAGGGAGCAGGGGTACCTGCAGCTGCTCCATGGTGCAGCTGAAGCTGAGGTCTGGCTGTGATCCCACATCACTGTTCTGTAGGAAACAAAACCAAAGCAGGCTGCTTTACTGCAAAATGACATAAATGGCACTGAGAGGGGTGTGAGGAGCGCATACCTCAGTACTGAGGGTCAGCAGGTAGGTGGGCTGGTAGGCTCGGTGCAGCTCGTGGGTCTGTGGCAGAACAGTGCTCAGCACAGCAGGGCCAGGGCAGCGGGGGGGTCCCACAACCCTGTGCCCCTGCCCTTACCTGGATGCGGTATGCTAGGCGCCAGGACACATCTGTCACATGTGGAGGGGCCCGGCCTATGCTGGGAGAGAGACAGCAGCAGGCGGTGTGGGAAGGGCTGAGACCACACTGCCTGTCTGTGGCACGCAACACTGCTGCAATGGGTCACAGAGACTTAAAGGGCAATACGGAAAGGAGGGGGACAAGTTTCTATAGCTATTTTATAAAGTTTGTTAGAAATGCAACAAAAAATGGTAATTAAAAAAAAAAATAAAGCATTACTGTTGACGTGGATGAGGGGAAGTGTGCCTGGTTCTCCCCAGGCAGTGCTGGAGCAGCCCCTACTGCGGCCCTGTGCCCACTTACCTCCCCAGCAGCTCCTCCAGTGCCTCCCGGTTTTTCTGGAGAAAAGGAAAAAAAAAGAAAGGCGAGAGCAAAATACATTTGCAAATTTGAAACGATTGCTCCAGAAGAAAGAAAACGCCGACATGTTACAGAAGGGTGCCAGACCTGGTACTCGGTGCAGAACTGCTCGATCCGCTCCCTGTCCAGCTTGCACTCCTCCAGGCACGCGCTGCAGGAGGACACACGGCCATGGGCGGCCCCCAACACACACACAGAACCCCGCCAGCCCCGGCGCCGTGCGGCGGCGTTGCCGGGGCCGTGGCGGGCGGTATCAGTACCTGAGGGCCGCTCGGTCGGCTCTCTGCCTGCCCGCCTCCAGGATGCAGGCGGCGGCGGCGGCGTGGCACTGCTTCAGCACCGCGGGGTCAACGTCGCTCAGCTCGGGGTCGGCTGCGGGAGACGCGGGGCTGTCGACACCGCCGCTCGCCCGCGGGACGGCGCTTCTGCCCCGTGCCGCACTCTCCATCCCGCGACCCGAAGCCGCGTCCCGCCCGGCTCCGCTCCTCTGATCGGGGTCGCGGGCAGCAGCGGCTCCCCCCAGCCCCGAGCCCGACCCGGGGAGAAACGCGAAGGGGCGCGGGCACGGACGCGGCGAAAGCTTCAGCGGGCGGAGGAGCGGAGCGGCCGCGAGAGGGGTCCGGCCGGTGGGGACGGCCCGGAACGGCCGGTGGCGCGGTACGCGCGTGCCCGCGTGCACACACGAGCACCTATGTGCACGCACAACCCCGTGTGCGCACCTACGTGCATGCCCGAGCACCTACGTGCATACATATCCCTACGTGCATGCCCAGACCCATGTGCAAGCACACCTTCATGTGTGCGCACATACACCTGTATGCGTGCACGTTCCTCTATGTGCACGCACTAACATCTCTAAGCATGCACACCCCGATGTGGACGCACACACGCATGCACGTGGCTCTGTATACACGCACACCCGCACGTGCACGCAGACAGCCCCATGTGCACGTACATACACCCATACCCACGCACGGACACTCACGTGCACGGACATCCCCACGCGCGCACAGACGCCAGTACGCACGGACACCCCGACTGCACGCGCACCCGCAGGCACACACGCACCCCTAACCCCGGCAGGCGGCACGCAGGCGGCCCCGCCGCCCCACGCAGAGCCCCGCCGCCCGCTCCCGCTCACCCACGCCGCCGTGGGGCTGCAGCACGCCTCGGAAGGCGGCGCGGAGCAGCGCGGAATAGGCGCGGCGGGACAGGCGCCGGGGGTCGCCCAGCAGCCGGCAGCCGCCCTGAGCGTACGCCGACAGCTCCATTGCGGCGCCGTGACCTTCGACACGCGCCCACGTGACCGCCGCCGCTGAGGCGGAGCCGTCGCGGCTGCGCCACCGGCGGGAGGAGGCGCCGCCGGGCGGGGAGCTGAGCCCGAGCGCCGAGCGCTGAGCGCCGAGCGTTCTCCTGGCGGCGCCTCCTCCCGCTCGGGGCGGCGGCGGCGGGCGCGGGAGCGGGCGGCGGGCGGCGGGCGGCGTGTTGCGGAGATCGGACGCGGGAAGGGAGACGCCGGCCGGCCGCGGGCAAACGTGGCCAAATCCGTGCAGCGTAAATACGCTGTGCCCTTTGTGGTGTTCAAGCGCTCCCGTTCCGCACCTCGGCTGCCCCGCTCGGTGCGTGCTGTTTGTTACCCCGAGGCGGGGGGCAGTCCCATTTCGGACGGGGGTTCTCTGTCAGTAGGTGAAAACGTGAATCTCCAAGCTCGGCTCTCAGCCGCGCTCGGGCGGAGAAGAGGAAATCCCGGCGCCCGCAGGATCGGGCCCGCGGTTCCGAGGCGCGCCCCACGTGTGTCCGCCTTAGGCCTCGCGGCACCTCCAGGCGAACGGCTCCGTTCGGTGCGCGCTGCGCTGCCGCCGCGCTGTTCCGACGCTTCGGCGTACCGATGAGTGCCTCTGCGTCCGTGGACGAAGCGCCGAGCCCGGCGGACGGCGTTCCGGGGATTTGCATTTTGCCAGGAACCGGGAAGGCACGACGGCGGCAAGGTGGGCTCGGGAGCGGCCGTCCTCCGTCCCGTGGCAACGCTGTCACATAGAGACACAACACGTAAGAAAAGACATAAAATGGAGGAGAAGAAAAACCATAAAATGGAGGAGAGGACAAAGCTCAGAGCCGTGGATTTACGAAGGTGCAGAGACCACGGCTGTGAAACAGGATCGTAATAAAAAAACGTCAGAAATGTGCACGCGTGGGGCATGGCTGCACGCCACGGAAATCTCCTCCCTCATCATCGACAGCGTGTGGAAATCTATGAATTAAAATCTAGCTTCAAAGACAAATTAATCTGTTAAGGATTCCTCACAGCACGGCACAGTCCGCATCAGTCCTTTCAATAATTTTCTTCAGCAGATCTGTGCTTTCACTTCCCCTGCCCCACCTCCCAGCAAGATCTCTTCTCCCCTTTCCCCCCCTCCAAAGGGAACACGATGCATTCACACAGGCTGAGCAGATTTCACCACTCGTGCGCAGTGTTTGCACCTTCTAAACTCTGTTCATTATAATTTCTAAGAGGAAGGGAATGTATATCAAATAAAGAAACTCCAAAGGAAATTCATTAATACTTGAATATTAATTAATCAGTGAAACAAACCACCCTGGTCTGTGCAGGCTGCTGTTTCCCCAGCTTGTTCTTCATTGCTCAGAAGAAAATAAAGCAGCTGTCCAAAGTGAAGGGAAATCATTTTGTGTGTCAGGAAATTTTAATTCTTAAAATTTCAGAATTGCCATAAGTGTTTCTGAAAACTCCCAGAGCTGCACTTTTTTTCCTGTATATTGGTTTTTGCAGAGTTAGAAGATGGTAACGTAAGATGGTGTTTCTAGCGCTTATTTTGTACAAAATCGTTACTGACTTCAAGGAGTTTCAGCTCCAGAGCAATGGGCTGTCCCCAGAACCTTTGGTTTAGGTCAGCAGTGAGCCTACTTTATTATAATGTATGGATTCTACAAAGAAAAAAAATGTTTCAATCAGAGAAACACATTAAGTAACTATTTACTACAGGTTGTATTTCTTGCGGGATTGATTTCTGAAGGAACAACTCAACAGTCACATTTCAGTCCCTGATAGTATCATAGCATCAAAGAAAAGGACCACACAGACCCAAAAGGCCCAGGAGAATTCTTTACATGTCTCTGGTACCAACGTGCAAGGCAGCAAAGAAGCTCCTGCTCTGAGCCAAGCCCTAGCGAGGTCCATTTCTTTGGTGCAGTCCTTGTAGGCAGCCCTCCTGCCCAGGGACAGTGCAGTGCTTAGCATAGCCTTCCAGGAAGATGTTATGCTCCCAGGTTTGTCTTGCATGTCTGAATTGCAGGCAGTGCCTTGTTTGGCTGCAGACAGGGACTGCTCAATAAAACATTCGGTGTTTGCTCACAAATAGTTCTGATTTAAGTGAGGAGTTCAGGAAATTAACTTTTTAATTAAATATGTGAAGGAGCTTAATTTATTTCGGTAAGGCAAAACCCATAGAAGCTGAATATGGTTTTGATCAGGAATTTAATATCTCTGATTTTAAGTTCAACCTGAAAAACATTTTTGCTGCTAGGTGGCATTTTTGGAATTTAAGTGACATTAATTTAGGGAAAATAAATCAAGAAGGGTTTCTCCATTTATCTTTTGATTTTCTTCTCTCTGACTTGGTGCTGCCTTCTCTTTGTCCAAACTTCAAATCTCCTATAAAAAAGAGATATCTCTCTATAAAAAATATATATCTTTTTAAAGGAACTGTCAGCTTTCACATTTAAATTATAGGCTCGCTTAAGTTCTACGCTTTTGAGCTGTTAATGTTTCATTCCTTCTTTAAGTGCTTAGCAGCAGAGACGAGCAGAGAAGAGCTGCTTGTTCCTCACTTTGTAGCTCCCCTGATTTCTAACAGTATGGAGAAATCTCACCTGTTAGAAAAGTCCCTTTATTTACAGAATGCGTATCAGATTGAACTCTCAAAAATATATTTGAATTTGTATTTTATACATCAAATAGAAATGAATCACAAGGAGAATTTCTATGTTATCTAGGATCGCATCAAAGGTAAGTAATAAAATGGTGCAGTGGTTTGGATATGTAAGCAAGCATCACTGCCATGTGCTGGGCAACGCATCCTCGGGGAGAGCAGCTTTGTCCTTTTGTGCATTTTAACACATCCTAGCATCCTACTAATTAAGGGAAATTACTGCATTTGCTGAATTGTCAGTCGTTCCCTTTCTCCCACAGAGAAACAGAGCTCCACAGTTATAACACATTTGCTCCTTCACAAGACAGAGCTCCCTGTCCCAGGCCAAATTCAAAGGTTTGCAGTCGAGGCCTACGTGAAAGGTGCTCACCTTTAGAGCCGAATGCAGAACCAAAAAGATCCCCGCTGCTTCTGCCAACCGCAGCGCGGTTCCCTGTCTGCTCCCGTGTCACAGACACGTGTAGTTTGTCATACTCACAAAAATGCTGGGAACGCTGCTGAATGTTGATATGGGTAGCCTGTCTTTGTAAGCAACATTTCTTGGCGGTGGATTTCACCCTGACGCTTTTGCTGCCTTTCAAAGGCTCTGACATAATTTACAGACACTTCAAAGTTGTGCTCCTGCTCCTGCTGCTCAGGCACACTCGGGTACGGGCGTCACGCGCTGCGCTGAAACCCTTTACATTTCACCTTATTTTTTTGGAATTTATTGAGAAATGTGTAGTCTGCCTGGTCCTCCAAACAGGAAACCAAATCCGTTTGGAATTTGTCAGTGTTTCAAGTCAGACTTTTTTGCATGTTGATGCAGTCAGCGGTGGGATCGCAGCCTTGCTGTTGGAAGCCTGTGAGGAGGATATTATGCTCTATTGTCAGGAAGCATTCACAGTCTGTCACATTAGTGCTGGAGATGTGTATAGAAGAGTAATTATTATAAGCTGACATCCAGCAAAGGAAGTAAAAACAGATAAACCTCAAAGGAAAATTAGGCTGGATGGTTCAGGTTCTGTTTGTCTCCAGATGCTTAATGTCACGGCACGGAAACATAATTTAGCACAGCACCTAGTTGGGAAAATAATTTTGTGCTTATGTAACAAATAGAAATGTGTTTTTTCTTGTAGCTCTGTGTTTTGTTAGCTTCTCACCAAGGCAGGTCAATACAGAAATATAATCAGCGAGCAATCAGAAACCCAGTATTTAAAGAGCTGCATGCTGTAACACCTTTAATTCTGTTTATATGGTTCAGCAGTATCAAGCCGTAGAAGTATTTAAATGTAGGAACGTGATGGGCTGTTGTCATAGAAAGAAGGAGATGGAACAGATAGCACAGTGACAGCAAGCACTACATGGCATTCTCTCTCTAGAATTAATCCTGCTGTTTCATGGAAATGTTTGATTCTGATCGTAGTGCAAGGCTTGTGTGCCAAAATGATAGATGCCTCGAAAGAAGCTTTGCTAAATAAAATCCTGCAGAGCTTGGCATTCACAGTTCCCTTTTGGCAATAGCGAGGAATGGCTGAGTAATATTTAGGAAATTGAGTTATTTAAGATGGAGTTATTGCATCCAAAGGCATTAGGGCTAGATCTGCAGCTAGTGTAAATCAGCATATCTCCCTCCATATTCTGTGTATTGCTTTGTGTCAGCAGAGAATCTGGCCCATATCCATTATCTAGAGGGAATATCAACTACTACAAAGCATACTTATCTAACCAAAAGCAAACGTAGTCTGAGTAGCTCATTGATGTTTCTTGTAACACTTGTGTTAACCTTTATAATGTGATAAAAATCTGGCACAGCTATGTACGGTTACAAATCATTTGGGTTTGATAGTATCAACAATTATAAATTAGCATTTATCACTTTTAATACTGCTTCAAATTACATTGATAAAAGCTCAGCTCGATATTGATGAGAAGACAAATAATTGGGGATCTCTCTGTTGCTCTAATTAATGTTACTGAGGGCAGAATTGGGCCTCTCTGAAACAGATCTGTCTGTCAAAGCAGTATGTAATTGTTTTTTGTTTTTTGTTTTTTTAATACAGTGTATTTTTTGTGTTCTCATTTGGTGAACGTAATCCCTGTCTAACATTTTACAGAGCCACAGGGTTTAGCTGCCTGGAATTTACATTCAAACAAGTAAAATCAACCCAGTATGATCTGTATGTTCAGCTCAATGCACGTGCCTGCAGAGCCTCAGATACAAGTTTTAGTATAAAAACCTGCCCTGTGAGAATCAGAGCAACACGATCAACTCTGCCTTCTGCTTCATTTGCTTGGCTCAGCTGATGAAAGGGGGCAGTTTACTAATTATTTACATTCTGAGCAGTAAACGCCGGGGTCAAGCTGCACCTC